TGATCTAGATGATATGTCAGTGACAGCGATATGTAATAACTAACTTTGGTTGATCTAGATGATATGTCAGTGACAGCGTTATATGTCAGTGATGTAATAACTAACTTTGGTTGAACTTTGGTTGATCTAGATGATATGTCAGTGACAGCGATATGTAATAACTAACTTTGGTTGATCTAGAAGATATGTCAGTGACAGCGATATGTAATAACTAACTTTGGTTGATCTAGATGATATGTCAGTGACAGCGCTATGTAATAACTAACTTTGTTTGATCTAGATGATATGTCAGTGACAGCGCTATGTAATAACTAACTTTCAGTGTTGATCTAGAACTTTGAGATATGTCAGTGACAGTGACAGCGCTATGTAATAACTAACTTTGGTTGATCTAGAAGATATGTCAGTGACAGTGCTATGTAATAACTAACTTTGGTTGATCTAGATGATATGTCAGTGACAGCTATATGTAATAACTAACTTTGGTTGATCTAGATGATATGTCAGTGACAGTGCTATGTAATAACTAACTTTCTAGATGATTGATCTATGAATGATATGTCAGTGACAGTGTGATGTATGTAATAACTAACTTTGGTTGATCTAGATGATATGTCAGTGACAGTGATATGTAATAACTAACTTTGTTTGATCTAGATGATATGTCAGTGACAGCGATATGTAATAACTAACTTTGGTTGATCTAGATGATATGTCAGTGACAGCGATATGTAATAACTAACTTTGGTTGATCTAGATGATATGTCAGTGACAGCGATATGTAATAACTAACTTTGTTTGATCTAGAAGATATGTCAGTGACAGCAATATGTAATAACTAACTTTGGTTGATCTAGATGATATGTCAGTGACACCGTCATACCAGAGATATAACCATACCAGATGAGTGTGAGGTGTTACAGTACTTCTTTGTGTAGGGGGTATGATCATATGCACTGACGTGATGGTGGGGAGAGACGAGTGTCGAACTCCCCATCTCCCCATTTCACTAACAGCTTGGTTTGCCTTGTGAAGGGGGTCAGGGGGTCCCGTCACCTGAGGCCACGCAATTCGGTGTGCAGTGTTACGTCCCTTGGACAAACCAGACCCCTATGATAGTGGTTTCGTATCTCCGTTATGTTTCAAGGAACCCGTGCTGATGGATTTCACTGAAACGGTAAACGTCTGAGAACAAACTCAGGTCGGGTATCCTCCCACATTTGGCTGACTGACATACTCGAAATACTCTCCACATTGGGGATAAACCAAACTCATTCACACAGACGTTTCAAGAGGCTGACATACTCGTTGGCTGCCATTGCAGTCATGATGGACGTGCTACCTTCCTGCTGACACCATCAGTTTGTGTTATTGTTTGAACGTTGTAGAAGGTGTCAGACTAGCAGACAAGAATTACGTCGAGAATTGTCAACCTGTGGCCACAATCCTGCGAGTGTAAAACTCTGGAGCGTTGTACGTGCAGCTTGCCCTTGATTATTTAGGGTACTGGTGTGGGTGTCGAACATCGACCTGCAGAAACTGATAACTAGCGAGCTCTCCTGCGCGGATTAAGTAGCCCTTCAATATTTATAAGCAACAATAGCGAATTGGTTTGATGCTTTTCCATGTTGGGTATCGTGTACAGAGCACACACAGAAAAGTTCAGTAAGGCCTGGGGAAAGAGACGGGAGGGAAGTGCCGGATGCTGCAGTGTCGTGACGGGGAAGATTGTTCCGTTGATGATGCTACATGACAGAACGGTCGCTGTCCGTAACTGCTAAGAAGACCGTGTATACTTGAATGGTTTGATTTGGTTTGGTTGTTGTTTTACGCCGCACTCAGCGATATTCCAGCTATATGGCGGCGGTCTGTAAATAATCGAGCCGGACCAGACAAGCCAGTGATCAACATCATGAACACCGATCGACGCAATTTGAATACGATGACAACCAAGTCAGCGAGTCTAACAACCCGTTCCCGTTAGTTGCCTCTTACAAGCATGGGTCACTGAAGATCAGTGGCGGTGTAGATAACCTAGTGGTAAAGGCGTTCGGTCGTCACGCTGAAGACCAGGGTTCGATTCCCTACATGATGTGAAGGTGTCCCCCGCCGTGATATTGCTGAAGTATTGCTAAAAGCGGCCAACTCACTCACATTTCTAACCCGGATCTTCACAGGTGACAGGGATATGAGTTACGGGCGTTTTGAGAGTAGCTCTGACATACATGCAGAACACTGTTTAAAGTTGATGCTCTATTGAACAGGAGGCCACTGAAGTTCGTTGAGGCTCGAATCGATGTGCCCTGGTTTAGGTGCGAGTGAAACGTGTAGGACTGGATGGATTGGATTGTGTGGAAAAGATGTTTAGGGGAACCAACAAGGAGACTGTTATCAAAGATACAAGCAGATATATAAAAGATTTTAAGAACTATATAGGTAATTTTACAAGATTCTAAAGAGAAAGGACTTATCAGTTATAACACTATTTCAGTCGGAGAAATTATTCAAATCTGTTGATTATGGCCTAAACTGATCTCTTATCAGGACTGAACCTAGAAGAGCCCATCCTTCTACACATAGACACCATTATATTCACAAAGGTCTAGCAGCATGGGATTCGTGAGAAGGGTTATCGCTTATCTCCCCACACACACGTAAGCACATATGCTGGATTGTACAATAATAAAAGATATATGTTGGGAACACAACACATGGACATTTGGTGCGTCAAGTCAGTCTAGGATAGGTGCATGTGAATATGCATAATGACATTATGCATATATTTACCACACTCATCCACCCCTTTACATGTATTATACAAGTATTTATATATTCATCACTAATATCCCACATGACCGCCCACTCTGTGGTATTGTTATATTTATACACCCACCCACCTCCACCCAACAGACCGCACCACCGCCAGATATGTGGTATTGTTATTTATTCACCCGGAAACATCCACCTTGCTATTTATTTTCGCAACCACTTCTATCCCCACTGGCTATTTGTATAAGAATAGACGACAAACATGACGACAAACATGTCTACCCAAACCAAACACCTTCTATCGCCTGTTGTCTCTGATACTGAACTCGGGGCGGTGGGGTAGCCTAGTGGTTAAAGCGTTCGCTCGTCACTCCGAAGGCCCGGGTTCGATTCCCGGGTCGGGGACAATGTGTGAAGCCAATTTCTCCGTTGTGATATTTCTGGAATATTGATAAAAGCAGCGCAAAACAATACACACTCACTTCTAGTGAACCAAAACATTTAAGGTCCTGAAAATTTTTGGGGGCTTATATTCTTGTAATAATAACCCTTACTAAATACCCCCGAACGTTTTCTTCAGTACAGCTCCATACAAATATAAAATAAAACAATCTGTGTTAAAATTTGACCTTCAGTTATATGTAAGTGAAATATGACCCAGCGTTTTAGATAACATATCTCAGAGTTCAGCTCATATCTTCAGCCGGTATTTGTAATTTGCACAGGTGTTGATCGCCCTATATGTGTGTACGTGTGTGTGTGCGTGTGCGTGTGCGTGCGTGTTTAGAGGTAAGGTGTTGTGTAACCTGGGTTGAAAGTCAGCTCTTTTGAGGGAAAGAGGGGTTGGAAGAGGAGGTGAGGGATACAATTTATATTCTCAGTTTAAAAAAAAAAAGATTTTCCGTGGCTATTTGACAGCAGTTATTGGAAAGTTGTCAAGCCATAAAACTTGTTCGTCCTCTTTTATAACGACGATGTGTAAATAATCGAACTGTAACGATCTACGCAACTTGAATTCGATGATACACATGATCCAGGTCAGTTATTCTGACCACCCGATCCCGTCAGTTGGCAAGTTGGAAAGTAGCTTCTGTCTGGAGTTGACTGGGATACTGTCTATTCAATGCAAACGAACAGACAGTCACTGGTCGATTTGTCGCAGGCTGGACGACACGAGATTCATTGGTCCTTGGTGTCAAACGTAAACAAATAGCAGCTTCAGCTTGAAGTTGCTCTTGTCAAGAAGAGCAGGTTGTATTGTTTTGTTGTTGTTTTTCATCACTTTATTTCTTGCATTTGCGGCTCATATTTAAATATACAAAGTATGAACACGGGTGGTAGATAATCCGTTGGCTAGAAGAGTACATTGTTATTGTAATTTATGTGAAGAGGTTATGGCAAGATGACCAAAAGGTGAAGAATTTACCATAGTTACAGTGCGAAAAGGCAGGACATTTGTCAATTTCATACAGGGTGTGTAGGTAATGCTTTAATCCAACAAACTGCGGATGCGAATTAGAACATCTCTTTGCATATATAAAGTATTTTGTTGTGATGATAATAAAGTTTAATACATCATTTCGTTTTTCTTTATATCCAAAGATGATATGTTTTGCATCCAGAATTAATCTTGTGCCTGTATCTTGTTCAACCCAGGCTTTCGGGTTGTATTGTTTCGTATCGGCCAAAGCACATATAGCAAGTCATGTCACCATGTCTGCCACGTTCTAGCCATTGCTTGTTCTTGATTGGCTCAGACAGCAACCTGGCTGCCCAACCGGTAATGGAACCAGTTTGAAGGCCATACTTTATCACACTGTCTATTAATACTCCACTGTTATGCACAACCGTGGACACATTGCTAAAGTCGTGAAAAGTATACCAAAGGCGTTTGGACAGCGTTTACCTTAACTGAAATACATAAAGTCACAGTGATAACCTTGATGTGATGTCCCTTTTCTTTGAGATCATATGTAGATCTAATTGTATATGAACTTTCTTTTGTGATTGAAGTTGTCCCACATTTGTTAATTGCATGAAAATACATTCAGGTCTTCAGCCTTACACTTAACAGTGTCATTGTAAGTCAGTAGATCTCGTCAGCCATTATAGACAGTAAGAGTGAGTGAGTGAGTGAAGTGCAGCATCTTAGAAGACCTTAACAAACAAGTAACACTTCAGGCCTTATGACACAGGACTGAATCATCATAATACAAAATAAACACTGGACATGCATTCATGACTTTTAATTAGTTTAAATGTAAAACAACTTGTCATTGATAACTAAAATAAAATCAATAATCATAATAATCATAACAACAATCTGATACAATAATGCAATATAAATAGTCATGGAAATAAGGAAACTGCCACTGTAATGCACCATGACTGACACTTGATTGAGCTAGCACACCATTATTACATCCGCATATGGTTTTAGGCAAATAGTTTTGCTATGATCATACATCATTCAAGGGGCATATGGTTTTACTATGGGCATACAGCATGACGTGGACAAATGGCTTTACTATGAGCATACAGCATGTTGGCATATGGTTTTACTATGCTCATACATCATTACGTGGGCATATGGTTTTACTATGGGCATACAGCATGACGTGGACAAATGGCTTTACTATGGGCATACAGCATGTTGGCATAGGGTTATACTATGGGCATACTGCATGCCTTGGACAAATGGTTTAACTATGCCATGGCATACAGAATTACTTCAGCATATGGTTTTACTATGGGGGTATACAGCATGATATGGGCAAACGGTTTTACTATGCTCTTTCAACATTACTTCAGCATATGGTTTTACTATGGGCATACAGCATTACTTGAGCGTATGGATTTACGTTGGGCATACAGCATTACTTGAGCGTATAGTTTTACTATGGTCATAAAACATGTCATGGGCATATGGTTTTACTACGGATATACAGCATTACTTGAGCATACGGTTTTACAATGCTCATGCAGCATGAGGTGGGCATATGGTTTTACTATGGGCATACAGCATTACTTCAGCATATGGTTTTACTATGGGCATACAGCATTACTTCAGCATATGGTTTTACTATGGGCATACAGCATTACTTCAGCATACGGTTTTACAATGGGCATACAGCATGAGGTGGGCATATGGTTTTACTATGAGCATTCAGGATTATGAAAGCATAGACTGCTACAGTGGCTTAAATAGTGAGTGGATTACGTGGCATATGGATCAGTATGTCATACAGCTGTAAGGTAGCACACAGTTTTCACGTAGCATCAGTTTACTCTGACATACAGCGTGTACATGACATAGTGTACATGACATACAGCATGTACATCACACAGTGTACATGACATACAGTGTGTACATGACATACAGCATGTACATGACACACAGCGTGTACATGACAGTGTGTACATGACACAGCACGGACATGAAATACAGCGTGTACACGACATACAGCGTGTACATGACATACAGTGTGTACATGACATACAGCGTGTACATCACAGTGTACATGACATACAGCGTGTACATGACATACAGCGTACATCTCACATACATGACATACAGCGTGTACATGACATACAGCATGTACATGACATACAGCGTGTACATGACATACAGCATGTACATGACATACAGCATGTACATGACATACAGCATGTACATGACATACAGCGTGTACATGACATACAGCGTGTACATCACATAGTGTACATGACATACAGCGTGTACATGACATACAGCGTGTACATGACATACAGTGTAAATGTGGCATACAGTGGCTGTGGCATCACCAAATGGTGAAGAACATTAGACGTTGCATAAACCTCACAAACGGAGGACGTTGAAAGCCTGGCACTACACAGGTGCTGACACTGTCTAATACTGAACACTGCTTAATACAGACCACTGTCTAACACAGTGGCATTTGTCTACATACTGGCTTCATGGTGTTTATCGTCAGTGTACACACTGAACGGGACGTTTACTGTTCAACATGTCCTGCATCACCAGTCCCTTAGGAAGGCGCTGACATTAATAAATCATCAGGTTAGGGAGTGAGACAGGTTTCAGTCAGTTTTGGCAATATTCTACCTATAACCTGTGATCCGGGGTCAGGCGTCAGTTGTGTGATGAGCTACTACTTCTACTACTAGGCTGCCTCTCTGCTGCACAGCTGTCTCAGTTCAACATGTCCGACAGCTACATGCCCTAAAACTAATATCAGTCCTAATGGTTGATATCAATTTATGTCCTACAATTTTGGTTTCAGGGGACTAATGCTATGCCAGGGTCCAGTCATCCTGTTGTTACCTCCCTTGAATGCGGACATGGTAGTCCTTGTCCACAGCATGGCAGCTGCACTGCCTTACCCTGGGCTCACACAAGGTGCTGTCCTGACAGTGTCGGGGGAATGTGTGTGTGGAGATGTGGGGACTGGGTGTGTAGCTGTACCTAAGTGAGTGTGTGAGTGTGTGTGTAGTGTGTGCAGTGAGTGAGTGAATGAGTGAGTGAGAGAGAGAGAGAGATGTGTCTGCTATAAATGGGGGAGGGGGGAGATGTGTGTGTTGAAGATGTGGAGGTTTTTCTTTTGTTTAAGTGTGATGCAGATGTGTGTGTTGAAGATGAGTTATTTTGGATGTGTCTGCCATAAATGGGGGAGGAGGGGAGGGATGTGTGTGTTGGGAGGAGTGAGTATTAGAGTGGTGTTTACTGGTGTTAGTCCTGCCAGGAAACAACACCCCAGTATCTTGCAATCACTACAATATGGACATACTGGTCACAAATCTAGAGAATGTGTATGATATTTCTTCTAAACATGGATATCCATGAGCGTACAAGACCCATACACAATTTTAACCAGTGAAACTGAATGTTTGTTGCAAACATAGAACCTTGATATAACAGCCAGTAGTAATGCACCAGTAGCACAGTCACATGACAGTCATGTGACAGGTTCAATCACAGACACCATGCAGTATTTGGACATCACTCTTTCCTGTGCTGCATTCTTTGCCCATCAACTATCACCAGTTTCAGAATGCACCAATAAGGTCACAGACATATTCTGTGTTATAGGAAGGTCTTGGTTCTCCTCATCTGCACCACAACACGATGTCACAATGCCTCCATACAGTCGGTGTTTCCATGTGTCACACGAATCGAGAACATCTTCAAACACATTCCAGACATGCCTGTCAATCTGCATGCCCGTTTACAGTGTTATACCTGATATAATGTTACACCTTGTGGAGTATTCCTTGAGCACAGCCAACTGGTTTCTACAGTCACTGAGATACCATGTCGTACAGTGGGTTAGGACTGACATCAAAGGCATCTGAGGCCGAGCTGTGAGTCTGCACCGTGTTGCTGCTCTGACTCCCGCTATCAGACACGGTGGACTCGACCATTAACTGAGGCCCGCCAGAAGCATTACTGTCCTTGGATGCTCGTTTCCTCATGAAATTGTCCAACTCGTAATCTTTGCCCTGAGGATGACAGACACCATTGAAAGAGTCAGGGGAATCTGCTGCCTCTGAGTTCTCCTCACTACTCATGTAGAACAGTTTCTGACGCTTGCCTTTCCGGAATGTTTGCCGGCTCCATGCTGGTGGAAGGAGCCGGTCATGGAGCTTGTTATGGAGCCAGCTATGTCTGACTCCGGAGATGTAACTAGATCATCCTTGTAATAGTTGTCACTGATGCAAATTTCATCTTCATCCAGCAGGTTCTGGGAGAAGCGGAGGGTGCCGTTGAGGACGTCTCTGACCTGCAGACAAAAAAGGAACATGATTCACTGTTCATCTGCAGGCCTAGCACAAGGTCCATCTTTAGGTACATTAACTGAACATAACATTTTGTTCTGGTCACCAGTAAGTGTTGAGTGGTAGACGTACCTGTTTGACCCTGCCAGAGCCAGCATGACCTCATCATCCGCATCTAGATCCAGCTTCATCAGTTCACTCTGCAGGCGCTCTGGAACAAAAGGAGATTCCATACTAGCAGCTTTCACAATGCGGAGATGTTCCAGGAGATGTGGACAGATAACATACAGAGGACTATAAGCAACTATTATTAAAATGTAGGTTGACATACTCAGGGATTGGGAAAAGCAGTGGCCATGGGCCATTTTGCACATTAGAGTAAAAAGTGGCCCATTAAAAGTTTGAAGTTTACTATTGATACAAGGGCAGCGGCCCTTTCTAAAATCAGAAAATGGCGTATAATCCTGAAATGGCCCATTGTCAAAGTTCTCTATCCCAATCCCTGCATACTTAAATCCAGTTTGTGAGTTGACTTGTGAGTTGACCTACCTATGAGTATCTCAGTTTGTGAGTTGACTTCCTATGTGTATATCCAGTTTGTAAGTTGACCTGAGTTAACTTACCTATGTGTATATCCAGTTTGGTTGAACAGTATCTACACATTGCTGACTTGTCATTCATCTGGCCTTGAAGTTTGGACACTTGGAGCTGGACCTCTTGCTCCTGGTTAAACAAAGACATACTTTCATTACCAGAAGAGATGAAAAGGATATCTCAGTGAAGCTGAATAGTACCATTATGACATGACAGATGAACTATGGTCGTTTGAAAAGTTGGTTCTTCTTTAACATCTTGTGAGAAGTATATGTCAGAGCCGTGCTCCACAAAACAATCACTGTTATGACTGTAAAGTTGTATTACAGGCATTCATTTCTATTGACCTCTTTGGTGAATTAAATCGGTCTTTATCAAATAAAGGACATGATTTTTTTCAAAACCTAAACCATTTACATTTGCAAGAGTTGTTCCATAAAATGAGTCAATGCTTTTCATTAAAACAAATAACATGAATTCTTCATTGTCATCAAATATCTGCAAAATCATACACAATAAATCAGTTATTTGCAAACATGGGCCTGCTGTATCTTGTCTACCAGTAACTCTGTAAATCCAGACGTGATCTACTGTTGATATATCCAGCCTAGGAGACTCACAGCTTTTGACAGTTTTTTGGCTTTTGCTTTTGTCCGTCCAGGCAGTGTTGAGTATTTAGTAGGGCTACTGTGTGTGGAGCCTTCATCAGCAGAGAAACCCACTGGGCTACGAGCTGCGGGTGTAGACTGGGTGGACCTGTTGATGACCTCGAGGCGGGCGAGGCTGGAGGATGAGGGAGTGTGGCGGAACATCTGGTCCTCCAGCTGGGACAAGCTGGCGGAGGATCCTCGCTTCACATCTTGGACCACCGGGCTCGCTACAGGTCAACGCAGAAGGAAGGAGTAAATTAATGTTGTTTTATTGCATAGCAATCCCCAGCTACATAATGGTGGCTTGTGAATAACTAGGCCAAGACAAGCCAGGAACTAAATTATCAATAGCAACAATCTGAATCATTGGGACTAGATGACATGCAAAGTTACAGAGATTGGACCACAACCGACTAGTCTGGGAACTAGTCTGGATCCCCATATAACATCACAGAGTCTTACAGGGACCACTAACTTGAGCAGCCAACACAGGTTTCATAGTGAACCACAGCTTCTATACAGAAACATTCCTACTGCACTACAGATACTTGGTTACACACGTGTCACTGAGTGAACTCATCTAGGGGCTAACTCAGTATGTATACCTACAGAGTATTACCTGACTGTCCCTTCATTTATTACCAGTTAAATAATTGAGTGCAGATATATCTCATATCAGAGACAGATGGTGAGGTTCTGCTTATCCTCCAAAATCATTCTTTATTTCATAAACAGTAATAACCATTGACTTGAGTAAACATTACACATAACCAGCTTCAGAGGCAGGGATATTACTGTGATTTTATAGAGCTGTCATGGTAACGAACTAAGTCAGCAAAATATTATGAATCAATTCTGCTGTAGCCATAGCTGTCTAGATAAAAAAGACCTCCACATGTGGTATCTCAAGAGGAAGCCACTCCTGGATGATTATATTTGTTCATCAATTATTATTACTTACACATACTTTGAGTATATATACCTTAAACAATTGAGAATGTAAAGTAAATAATAAAAACAAAGGAATCTTAATATGATCAAAGCAAGGTAACCAAATCGAAAACCAAAACTTTATGTGTGAAGCCCCACTACTTGGTATCAAGACACAAATTTCAATTCCTATATCTGAATTGTAATGTCTGACAAATGACCAAACGTTTGGTTGTGACAACATAATGACTGTTTTCCTTTCAGCAATATTCCAGAAATATCATTGCAGGGTTGACCTTGGCTTATCATCTTGGTGAGTGGATGCTTGAGCTACATGGCTACCTCACTATGCCTAGTTCATTGGGGAGATCACATTTAATCTGATGTTTATGAACAGTGAAATATGATCAAAAACTATAGAACAAATTGGCAGGCTCAACACTGGTAGGAACATGCATTCCGAGTTGGACTTCATCCCAAAAGCTGTGTTTGGAGGAAAGATGTTTTGGAAAGAAAATGAGTGCACAAAAATGGTGAAAAGGTTAAATACAGGTCAAAGTAGAGAACATGGCCACTCCTCCAAGCAGGCAATGACATAAGACCTTGACATGGTGAGCTAAGAGGAAATCTGTTGCATCATACTGAACTTCAGGTTTGGGATTAACTGAGCAGTGGATGAAGTGGTTTAAGTGGTGAGGTGTGGTGTGTGGTTTAAGTGGTGAGGAGTGGGTGAGTGTGGTGATGTGTGGGTGTGTGGTTTAAGTGGTGAGGTGTGGTTTAAGTGGTGAGGTGTGGTGTGTGGTTTAAGTGCTGAGGTGTGGTTTAAGTGGTAAGGTGTGGTGTGTGGTTTAAGTGGTGAGGTGTGGTGTGTGGTTTAAGTGGTGAGGTGTGGGGGTGTGGTTTAAGTGGTGAGGTGTGGTGTAAGTGGTGAGGTGTGGTGTGTGGTTTAAGTGGTGAGGTGTGTGTGGTTTAAGTGGTGAGGTGTGGGGTGTGGTTTAAGTGCTGAGGTGTGGTGTGTGGTTTAAGTGGTAAGGTGTGGTGTGTGGTTTAAGTGGTGAGGTGTGGTTTAAGTGGTGAGGTGTGGGGTGAGGTTTAAGTGGTGAGGTGTGGTGTGTGTTTTAAGTGGTGAGGTGTGGGGTGTGGTGTAAGTGGTGATGTGTGGGGTGTGGTTTTAGTGCTGAGGTGTGGGGTGTGGTTTAAGTGGTGAGGTGTGGTTTAAGTGGTGTGGTGTGGGATGTGGTTCAAGGTTGATGACAAATTTCAAACCCATCCACACTTATAAAGGTACAAAACCATGACCCAAAGCCCTTGCCCAACATGCTTAGTTGGTAAATCAACACCATAAGTCAAAATGAAGATCCACAGCCATGGTAACACTGTTACTGCCTAGAGAACAGTCTCAACAAAGGAGAGCCAGAATGAGAGGACAGTCTCAGTTGGTGTATACTGCAGTAGGCTCAATACCATGGAAACTGAACTATAACATACGACACCACAACACCCACTGTAGGTAATATAAACAAATGAGGAAATACCGCTGAAGTAACTGGTACCACAACACCACACAGGGTATATATCGAAGAGACAGAGAGACAGTCTACGTGGGCGACATCGCGGCGTGGGGCGACCGTGTACAGCTGTTGGTAACACAGTTATAGTTACACATGCAGTTAATGGATTATGAGTTAGTGAGGTCACACTCTAAGGCACATCATCAAAATAAAGTTGTTAGGGTATATCAACAAGCATGAAATCAAAGTTGTCATACTGAAACAGAAACCAGAGAATGCCTGACTGCATGAGGACATTAAGCAGATATTTCAGGAGCAGATGATACAGGATACAGAGAGGAGTGAGAGAGGATGAGACAAGAGGATGAGATAAGAGGACATGCTACAGAAATACAAGCATCTTCCCTTGTCAAAAGTGTTAACTGACAACAAAACTCCATCTTCTACCCTTGCTAAACTAGGCTGGGAATTTCAGATTTAAGGTTTCAACATTCTGGCTGGACTATAGAACCTATACATAGTCCTATAAAAATCATGTAAAAAAATCAAGATCCTGTTTGTAAACAACATGACAACTGCTGTGCAGACCTGTCAATTCGAGGATTTGAAAACTCATGTGTAGCTTCAAATTGGCCTTGACAGGTATTTTCAAACTCTGTACATGTTTGTATAATTAATGTGCCCAAGGTGTGGGCTGAAATCCACATGCGCTGCTTGCCTGTATGGCAGGGAATGTGAATGTTTTTCACGTAACTAGAACAGATTGACATGCCACAGGACCGAGATATGAGAGGACATTGTTCAGAGAAATGACGAGATGGACAGAACAAGATATGACATGGTAGACAATAAATATGCTAAGAAACAATTAAATTAAGATTATCTGAAAGCCTTAAAGATCACTATGAAGATAACGAAACTTAAAGCTACACATATGAAGTGTTCATTTCAGAAACTGGAAATAACCTTTCAAAGCATTGGGAACATTTATTGAAACAAAAGGATACATAAATAGTTTTGAAATAGAGATATAAAACTTTGCTACAGCTTTACTGTCCAGGATCTCTTTATGTGTCTTTATACCTGATGAAGGAGCCAGAATTAGCTCTGAAACATCGTGTAAAGAATAAAAATGAAGCTGTCATCCATAAAATGTGTCATGTATTCAGTTTTGCACAGTTTAGAATAGAAATTAAATAAATTTGTCCCCTTTGTCTGCTTTCTTTTCATGCCTGACAAAAGCTGAAAGCTGATTTGGAACTAATGTTGGAAGGGAGATAATTCTCTTCCCCAAAACAGTGTATGAAATAAGGCCTGTCCGACAGCCCGAGACAGTCTAGATTTCTGACGGACGGTCTAAATTTACAGCTAGCCAGCCCGATGGTCTGGTAAAAATTGTAGATGTTGCATATATCTCAGTAAATTTACCATATTTGGTCTGGTTAAATCCATTTCGGGCTGGTAACATTCTGAAGTTACCAGCCCTGATGTCTGGTTGGGTTTTTGGCTTATTTCATACATTGCCCAAAATGATTATACTATCCAATCAAGACACCATTCATTTGGGACTTATTGCAATGCCCATCGTTACTGAGACTTAATGGCTATGATTTATGGCTATGATAACTGATAAATCGCACTAATGTGCCTACTTCCTATTCTGACAACAAAACTTAGCGTTGAGCAGTGAACAGTCAAAGGTATGATCGAAAGTGTATTTTAGTTCTGGAATATTATGTTGCACCAGTGGGGCCAGTGATATTTATGTTCTCTGTATGGAATTTTGTGTGTTAAAGTCTCCATGTCTGTGATCTGAAATGAACACTGCATATTAATTACACAATTGCACAACAGCCTAAATAAACAAGCAAGTTCATAGCTTTGTCATACTAATAATCTTACACGAGTAGACAACTAAAAGTGTAGGACACTGGGTAGGGATTCACAGGTCTCCACAACACCAAGTGCAGGACACAGAGCTAAGTATCTACAGCTGAGGCAGGGCATACAGTCTGCCACCAGGGCATGTAGATCTGCCACCATGTGTAGACACAAGGCTGGTGTCGTGCACCCAACATGACAATGTACCTGGTGAGATGTCAGTCTGCAGGTTCATGGGCTCACTGGAGGATTTGGGCAAGTTCTTGCTAGAGAAGGCAAGTGTTCGGGGTCGGTTAAACTTGCGTGAGAAGGAGGAGAAGCCCCCATATCCATGTCCGTGGCGTTTGTTAGTTTGGTTAGCTGCAGACAGAGTGAGAGGACAGGTTAGACAGGTGTGCATGGATCAGCTTATAAAGAACTTTGATCACAGCGGTCAGTAAAGCACACAGGACCTAGGAGGTGTGGACCCACTTGCATAGAACCATCTTAACACTGCAATACTGTAAATGATATAATTAACATAAACTTACAATAGTTACTACATACTTACAAATCCTGTAGCTCCAAGCATAACACCTATATTAACACAAACCTACAACTGTTGTAGCTCTAGGACTGTAGTAATTCCTATATATTAAGATATACTTTTAACTCCAGGGCCCTGTTTCACAAAGTTCTCGTAGGCCTAAGATCTTGTAACTTTTCTCGTAGCATTGGTACCTGCTATACTGTCAGTATACTTAGGTGGTACCTGCTATACTGTAACATAGGAGGTACGAATGCTATGAGAAAAGTTACGAGATCTTAGGCCTACGAGAGCTTTGTGAAACGGGGCCTAGGACCTTAGAAATTCATAAACCTAAACCTATACTTACACTAATCTCTGCAAGTGAGTCCAGTTAATAGAAGTATTATTGAAGCGGAATATAAACTGTGAGCTCCATTGTGGCACCGTTCTTGTTACTGAGAATGTACAACTTGCAGACCCAGCAGAGCCGGGAGAATGACAGGCAGCAAGAGAAGCAGGCTTGTTGTACACGTGTTCCTTCCTTCACATGACGTCAGCAGTTATAATGAGACCAGCAATGACTTGATAGACTATTGATCAGGCTGAGAGTTCTACAGTCCTACTTGTTGACATATGTTTGTCAAGGAAGCTACTTACATCTGCTCCTGCCTTTGACAGCGGTAGTGTTGACATTCTGGTAAGTATAGTTGGGTGGCCGTGGATATTGCTGCAACAGAACCAAATCTCTTTGATAAAACCCAACAGCTTGGGTATGGTGCTATGAAGAATGATTTGAAACCAATATCAAATGTTTTTGGCATGCCCAAGGAGTACTCGTCTACATGGTGTCTATTGGCACCAATGACTGGACGTCTGTGCCCCTGACATACAAGGGTGTTAGCCCGATCTGTCGACACATGAAAAATAGGATGTTGCTAACCGTCGACAAAACAAAAAACCCGGAGTGTCGACATCGCGTGGTCAACATACCGTGACAGTGTTAATTAATGAAAGAGAATGTTTGCTTAGTGGTTTGCAAGTGGCTATGGCGGCTACAGCTATGCTCGTATCATGAGTAAATGAATTAAGTTGATTAAAGAGAATGTCTTTTTAACAATTTGCAAGAGAATTAAGGTTGCAAAAACAGACTATTATTTTACGTTATGCGAGTGGAAGGATTACCATTTTGGAGTTTAACATGCAACAACATCCGGAAAGAAACAGAGAGCTTACAAATTATTTTGTGATATTGGAGTAGAAGGATTATCGAAATGCTGTTGTAAACATTTAGCATTTGGGTATATATAACAGATCATGAATATTTTGCCAACTTGGAATCATTTTGAAAATGATGGACACAGAACTAACAATAATTTGGAAGGTTGGCACAACAAAATCATCGACGCTAGGATTCGATCCTTGAAGGCCGACCTTCTTGTCGACAGACTTACTGACTTACATTACACAGACCATGTGTCAGAGTTGCTTCATCTTGGCTGAACATTCAGATTACTTTAGTGCAGATATAAAGGAGTTTTGGCAAGAAGAAATAACTGGACTCATCTTTTATATATTTATTACTTATACACCTGCAGAAATCACTTATTTATATAAAACACACACACAAATATATTGTGTGAGCTTTATGAAATATATATACAAATATGTTATATTGTGTGACATATGATACATGCATGATACATGCATGTTGTTATACTGACTGAATAAATATATTGTCTACTATATATATCACACTCTGTTTTAATTGGTTTGTTAATTTCGAGAACACTGGGAGTGAAGTCACTCATGTAGAACATCACCTCCCTTTTCCCGGACTGTCGACAATTAATTTGGACGGATTATTTCTTGTTGTCGACAGTCCGGGCATAAACCCATACAAGAGTCTTCTCAACGACGAGATGTTATAATTAAAATGTTTTGTTTGAATATTGAGAATTTTGTGTTTCTAGGGCTCACACTCCTTCAGACACCCTCAGGATACCAGTAAGAGCAAGGCATCAACATAGATTCAAGGAGATAGGTGGGGCTTTTCAGTGATGAAATATACTTTATTCATGGATATAAAGATCAATTCACCAAGCTGACTTTAACACTGGGCTCTTGAGACCTTAATGCTTTTTGGTTCCTGAAGGATCAGGGACCTTTCAAGGAGGTTGATCCTATTTTGGGTTCTAAGTATAGAGGGGCCTTTCAAGGAGGTTGATCTTATTTGGGGTTCTAAGTATAGAGGGGCCTTCAAGGAGGTTGATCCTATTTTGGGTTCTAAGTATAGAGGGGCCTTTCAAGGAGGTTGATCCTATTTTGGGTTCTAAGTATAGAGGGGCCTTTCAAGGAGGTTGATCCTATTTTGGGTTCTAAGTATAGAGGGGCCTTTCAAGGAGGTTGATCCTATTTTGGGTTCTAAGTATAGAGGGGCCTTCAAGGAGGTTGATCCTATTTTGGGTTCTAAGTATAGAGGGGCCTTCAAGGAGGTTGATCTTATTTGGGGTTCCTGGGATGGAGGGACCTTTCAGTGATGTGGTACTTACATTGGGTTCCCGTAGATACAGGGCCTTCTCAATGAAGTAGTGAACATCTCCTACAGGTACATATTTCATGAGGCAGCTGAGACTGGCTGCATAGTCACTGGCCAGTACTGGAACAGACACGTGGAGAGACTTCACCTGACAACTGATGGCTACCTGTTACATTCATATCGTAGAAGCTGTCAATATATATTTTCTACTCCATATGTACCTTCAAGCTGTGTATTAAGACTTGTAATTATAAATCAATAAGCTAATGAGTGCTAGCCGATCAAGGCTGACGAGAGTGGCAACTGGTGCCATGTGTTCAACTTACACAATGGGTAGAGTGCATTCCCTATTCAGAATTCTAGCTTAGCCTCAGAGGTAAGTTTATAGTCAAAACAATCAAACACAAACCATGATTAGATGTGAGGGAAGATTCTTATGAAGTATACTCACACAAATCTCTAATATAAAGCAGCATTGAAACAAATACATAGTCCACCAGGTCAAATCCGATTCCATCTGCAAAGATGGCATCCCATATCACTAGGAGGTCTTGCATGGGAAACTCTCGGCCAAACAGCAGCCGCACCCACCGACTGCAAAAATAGGGACAAGTTGTATGCTATGAAACATCTTCACACAACAATCAATTAAATGTTCAAATCTGTACTCATGGGCATATCAATACTCGATGTCTGTACACACAACGTTTCAATAATCCTATATTCACATGCCACACCTGTGGTGCTATAATCATATGCCTTTTATCAGTGTATGAAGTAAGCCAAAAACTGTTACCAGCCCAAATCGGATTTAACCAGACCAGAAAATCCAAAGTAAATTACTCACCTGTATGGATCATGTCACCTAAAAATTTAACAGACCATCTGGCTGGCCAGCTGTAAATTTAGACCGTCTGTCAGAAATCTAGCCCGTCTCGGGCAGTTGGACGGCCTTATTTCATACACTGGATATATATGTAGCGTTATACTCACATGCCATATATCTATCATGTTATATCAGAGATACCAACCCTGAATCAAATGAAAGCAGAGTGATGCCTTGCTAAAAGCAATTCCCGAGCCATGAAGGTGCGAGTTGGGGGTGAGAGGGGGCTCGGGTCCCTTTTGACGTTGGGGGTATGGGGGGCCTCCCCTATGAAAATCTTTAGATTTAGCCTGGAAATATGCAATTTCTGGGCATACTTAACCAGATGATACTTAACTCAAATGAACATATTTAAATGTCTACTTACTAAAATTCTTTCAAACATTCTAAAATTATAAACATATTTGTATTTTCTAAAAAATCGGAGTTTTTTATAGACAAATCGGAGAGTGAATTTTGTATTTGAAAATCGGAGTAACTCCTCCAAAATCAGAGTGGTTGGCATCTCTGTTATTTTCACATGCCATATTGTATGGCGGTATTATCACATTCCCTATACCTTTGGCCTTATACTCACATGCCATATATCTGTGGAGCGATGTCGAGTCGCTCTAGATGCAGGTGTAGTTCTGCATCAAACTTCTTCAGCAGGTAGTCCTGGATGCGAGTTAGCTTTGTCACTATCACATTTGAGGGGTTCAGGTCCTGGGGTCGGGAGAAAGGCTGAGCCACCATGTATTCTCTGCCCTGAAAAGGTAACCATCAATACAGTACAATACACTACTACATTCCAACATACATTCCTACACACAACTATATTTCCACACTTGTTTATTTCAAATGCTCAACCCGCCCAACCCATGTGTGTGCCTTGTGCTCTATTTGGAGATGGTTCCTGGAGGAGTGAGAGGGTATACACACAAATCCTCAGCTGCTGAGTGAGAAATACAGAATCCATCCCTTTATGATATAATCTTTGGTTTCCCTGAAGAGTTACACATGAAAGACCAACCAAGCGATTGAGGGGTTGCTCCATATCCTAGCCTGTACAGTGAGAGGCTAGTATTACCCACCTGTACAGTAAGAGGCTAGTATTCCATACCTGTACAGTAAGAGGCAAGTATTCCCCACCTGTACAGTGAGAGGCTAGTATTCCTCACCAGTCCAGTAAGAGACTAGTATTCCCCACCTGTACGGTAAGAGGCTAGTATTCCCTACCTGTACAGTGAGAGGCGAGTATTCCCCACCTGTACAGTGAGAGGCTAGTATTCCCTACATGTACAGTGAGGGGCTAGTATTCCCCACCTGTACAGTAAGAGGCTAGTATTCCCTACCTGTACAGTAAGAGGCTAGTATTCCCCACCTGTACAGTGAGAGGCTAGTATTCCCTACCTGTACAGTAAGGGGCTAGTATTCCCTACCTGTACAGTAAGAGGCTAGTATTCCCCACCTGTACAGTAAGAGGCTAGTATTCCCTACCTGTACAGTGAGGGGCTAGTATTCCCACAGTATTCCCTACATGTACAGTGAGAGGCTAGTATTCCCCCCACCTGTACAGTGTACCTGTATTCCCCACCTGTACAGTAAGAGGCTAGTATTCCCCACCTGTACAGTGAGAGGCTAGTATTCCCCACCTGTACAGTGAGGGGCTAGTATTCCCCACCTGTACAGTGAGAGGCTAGTATTCCCACCTGTACAGTGATAGACTAGTATTCCCCAACTTAAAGTGATAGACTAGTATTCCCCACCTGTGATAGACTAGTATTCCCCACCTGTACAGTGAGGGGCTAGTATTCCCCACCTGTACAGTGATAGACTAGTATTCCCACCTGTACAGTGATAGACTAGTATTCCCAACTTAAAGTGATAGACTAGTATTCCCCACCTGTACAGTGATAGACTAGTATTTCCCACCTGTACAGTGAGGGGCTAGTATTACCCACCTGTACAGTGATAGACTAGTATTCCCCACCTGTACAATGATAGACTAGTATTCCCCACCTGTACAGTGATAGACTAGTATTTCCCACCTGTACAGTGAGGGGCTAGTATTACCCACCTGTACAGTGATAGACTAGTATTCCCCACCTGTACAATGATAGACTAGTATTCCCCACCTGTACAGTGATAGACTAGTATTCCCACCTGTGTGATAGACTAGTATTACCCAACCTTACAGTGATAGACTAGTATTCCCCACCTGTACAGTGATAGACTAGTATTCCCCTGTACCTGTACCCCACCTGTACAGTGATAGACTAGTATTCCCCACCTGTACAGTGATAGACTAGTATTCCCCACCTGTACAGTGAGGGGCTAGTATTATCCCACAGTGATAGACTAGTATTCCCCACAGTGAGGGGTATTATCCTCTTGTACAGTGATAGACTAGTATTCCCACCTGTACAGTGATGACTAGTATTCCCTACTGTACAGTGAGGGGCTAGTATTCCTAGTATTCCCCACCTGTACAGTGATAGACTAGTATGTACAGTGTAGACTAGTATTCCCCACCTGTACAGTGAGGGGCTAGTATTACCCACTTGTACAGTGAGGGGCTAGTATTACCCACCTTTGTCATACTTTCCTTTGTTGTGTACCAGGGCTCGACGGTCTCCATGATCTGACAGAACATTGCACTGAAACATGCAAGTCAGGAACATAACTCTACAGAACACTCTGTCATTGATGCATAAAGTCGTATTCCCTGTATGGGGTGGGGGTGGTGGGTGGGGGGTTTGGGTGTATTTCGTTTAATGCCACACAATCATTCCAGCTATATGACAGCTGTTTACCCGGGTCCCCAGTATGCCGTTATATCGCTGATGTTCAGGACAGTTCATTATCATCACTCGCTATAAAACCTAGCAATCTGATTGGCAGGCTTAGCTGTACTACTTATTGTGATTAAAACATTCATTGATTTTGTATTGTTTTACTTTTGGGAATGGCTGTGTTTGTTCGGGACATTTTTGGACAGGCAGTCCTTGGACAGGCCACATTTTAAAACTATGGTACTAGCATCATGAAGTCTGTGGTCACATCACTTGCCTCATCTGCATTTCCAATTAGAATGCACAGATTGTGATGGAGAGCACAAGGAAGATTAATAGCTGCCCACAAATATTCACAGAAATCAGTCCAGCATCATTAAGCAAACTAACAATATTTCAACATTTGCATCTACTGGACATGTGTACTCACTATGCATCATGTTCCAGATGGGTGGGACTCATGATCTCCTTGACGATGTCTCTGGAAGTAAAGGCAGACAAGATGACTATGAGATGCCACAACCTATGTTATATTAGTGTATTTATGTGAGGATGGCATATGTGGTAATCTGCCAGGTTTCACTGACGAGTGAGTTTAAAAACTCTTGAAACAGATGGGATGGGAAGGTATGACAGGGTGTTGTAAGCTGCTCCAGAGAAACAGTACCCAGGATCTGGGTTAGAATTGGTCATCAGTAACCAATGCTTGTCGGACGAGGCAACTAACAGTGGTCAGGCTCGCTGACTTGGTTGACACATGTCATCATATCCAAACTGCGTTGATTGATGCTCATGATCACTGGATTGTCTGGTCCAGGCTCGATTATTAACAGACAGCCGCCATATAGCTGGAATATTGCTGAGTGCGGCGTTAAAGAACAAACAAGACCAAATCAGATCAACAGGGGCGATCATTCTTCAGTTGACTTATAAATAATAGTAATTATGTCGTAAACGTTCCCTCTGGATTATGGTTGCCAGTTTCCTGTGGTATCACAGTGACATACAGAAATGATATACATGAAGTAGCCTTGGCTCATTCTTACTTGGATGTATTATATCACCCTGTTTCGGATGCTACTCAGAGTGTATTCCTTGGGCAGACTCACGGCTATGGATAGGACACACAAGTTGAACTCAGTTAAGAATCTACCGGAATCCACTAAGGAGCTGATCTCACTACTGATGAATGAGGCAAAGATAGTCTGGGAGTGCGCTCCGGAGGTAAACAGCCAGAAGAGCCCAATTCATTGGGTATTTCCTGTTCCATATCCTCAGCTGGCAGAAGTCAAGTACTTGGATACAACCCATATAAAAAATCCATTTTTTCCTTCAATGTCCATCCGGGAGCGTAATCTTCCTCCGCTGTATCCAGGGAAGGCACAGTAACACAACCCTCCTTCATAATCAATTCAGGATTAGACACCGGGTAGGCCATATGCCCCTCTGAGTCCGATAAGTCTGGGATTAACGGTAATATGCTGTAACTGTAGCCGTTGCATGACTATCTGTGGCATTCCCCGTAGGACAAGCAGCCCTCCGCTGTGAGTCCGCTGTGAAGCCCATGCTATCTGACGGCTGGTAAGGGACCGTGCCGGCGGCCTGAGCCCGACTGACAGAATTTCCCCCCACCTCCAAGCCACACGGGTGACACAGATCCACAAGAGCGTGAAACGATAGCCGGCTCTGCAGACTGTCTTTGACTGACTTAGCGTCTCCCGCGACTGGGATCGGCAACCCAGCTTCAAGACGGTGGTGGTACTCGGCCGAAATGAGCATAGCACCGTGCCGCCCTACGGGAAATGACTGTTGATTCAGGGGACTAGTGCGCCTGTCATCGTCATTGTCATTTATATATGGAGCCCTCTGAGTTAACGATTCCATGAAATCTAACTGCTTCTGCAATTCTGATATTTTCCCATCATTACGCTTTTCAAACTCATGGAAAGATTGCCGCATGGAAGCCTGAATATCCGACTTAAAATCCAACAATAGGGACGTAATGGCCGACATGTCCACTTGGCTGGACAAAGAACTAGATTTTGATCTTGACCTAGACTTAGTCTCTGATTTAATGGAATCTGGCTGAGGTTGAGAAGCAGATTCCTTAATTCAAGATGAATCTGATGAATCGATGAAGCTTTGTCCATAATTAACCAGTCCTCTTTTGATAATTCTGAACACAGCAAAAATGATTATCTAGAACAGACCATGAGGCTAATGCGATATCACTAACCAGTACTCCTCACTTGCAAAATTCAGTTGACAATATAATGTGATGGTCAGAACAGACCAACTGGCGATTGTTGAAGACTTTCATTGATAATTCTCTTCCACTTCTGTGAACGTCTGCACGTGAACCATACAGAAAAAATTATGAGGGCTTGGGGAGAACAATGCTGTGACGTAACGGCTAGGGGAGATAACTGTGTCACTCTTTAGGCATACCACTAAGGATAACTATGACTTAGTTTTTTTAAGAGAACTTTTTTCTCTTTCATTTCTGTATGTCACTGCGATACCACAGGAAACTGGCAACCATAATCCAGAGGTAAGTTTACTAACAATTACCCACAATACCTGTAATTGTTCCTATTACCCATGTACTTCAGAAACTGAATGAAGCATTCATGACACTGATATTTTCTCATTGTGTCAGTACATCAAACAGCGGTTAAAGAAGAAGAAGAACTACTTTTCAACTTTGATAACTAATTGAAGATGGTTAACAAGTTAAAACAAGGGTGAAACTATAATCGGTATATTGTGGTTCTATAAAGCTCAAAATGCAACCAGAAATTGAGTCCCAAGCAAGCTATTTCTTCAAAGTAGACACAATTCATGGTTAAGTTCTTAATATATTACAGAAACATAAATTGTGTCTTCTTTGTCATCTGGAAACTTTAAAAAAATGCTTATCAAAGAATTTATTATTCTACTGACATAATAATGTTAAAGAAAATGCAGCTGATTATGGATTTCTTACATGATATATTTAAAAGGAAAGAAAAATGATATGCACCAATATATTACACATACTTCATGACCCAATCCAGGTCCAACAGGTCATGTCAAAGCCAAGGTCCATAGGGCCATGACATAACACAAGTAGTACAGGTCATTACAAAACCCTGGTCATGACAAAGCCAAGGTTTACTAAGCCATGACATATAACCCAGGTCCACTGGACCAAGACATAACCCAGGTCATGACATAACTCCAGCCAGGTCCAACAGGTCATGACTTAACCCCGGCCCGGTTCACCAGGTCATGACTTAACCCCGGTCCAGTCCACCAGGTCATGACATGACCCCAGCCCGGTCCACCTGAGCATGACATAACTCCGACCCGGTCCACCAGGTCATGACTTAACCCCCGGCCCGGTCCACCAGGTCATGACATAACCCCGGACCAGTCCACGGCTTAACCCCCAGCCCGGTTCACCAAGTCATGACATAACCCAGCCCGGTCCACCAGGTCATGACATAACTCCAGCCCGGTCCACCAGGTCATGACATAACCCAGGTCCTCCAGGACATGACAGAAGTCCTCCAGGGATTTGATAGTGTCACCCTGTTATCATGGTATTAAACATGTGTTCCTCTAGCGAACAGACATGATTATTGTCAGTGTGTTATGTCTTGACAAGTTTCTCTATCTGTAATGCCTTGACATTATGTTATACAAAAGCTATAAAATGTTGACATGTTGTCATGCATAGACGGTAATGTCTGGGTAAATGTTCATGCACTGCCTCTTTATTGTTATGACATGGTCATCTGGGACCTCCAAGATATACATGCAATGCTACCCACATTCTCAAGGTGCAGTCATAAGTTGCATATACTGTGAAATCCTGTTTCTCATTAATCATAATTTTACTGGTGGAAATGTCTACCTAAAATCCGAGGGACAATGTGTGCCCATGATTCACCGTCCTGGGAATATATCTTTGGATTAACTACACTAACAGTGACCTCAACATTCTGGTCTCTCTCCTGACCCCTGGTTTCAGTGCTTCATGCGTCAGCTCATATAAACATGGAATACTGCCTACTTTGTCCGACATGTGTATTCCCTCTTTTGAAACATCAGTAGGACCTTTCTGATACGTCTAAGGCTAAGTACATCAGTCAATACATGGATAAAGTAAAGTATAAGTAAAAACAGCATATAATGAGAGAAATCCCAGCATGCAATAGCGTGTAGAGTCAGGACCCAGCCTACTGAATGAGCTCAAGCGGTATAGAGAGTGTTGTGGGCTGACCTGTGAGTGCTGTGGAGGTAGCTGAAATCAAGTATCTCTCTATGTACAGTCATTGCTTACATGGCTAGGCCTCTACACACACACAAAGTCATAACTTACAGACCTAAGCTTCGATATAATATATACTCAAAGTCATTGTTTTAACAGCTGCGATTAACACACACATGGAGTCATTGCTTACATACCTGGTCTTTCATATACATACAGTCATTTCTTACATACCTGGCCTTTCATATACACAGTCATTGCTTACATGCCTGGCCTTCCATATACATACCTGGCCTTTCATATACAGTCATTGCTTACATGCCTGACCTTCCATATACATACCTGGCCTTTCATATACACAGTCATTGCTTACATGCCTGGCCTTCCATATACATGCCTGACCTTCCATATACATACCTGGCCTTTCAAATACACACCGACATTGCTTACATGCCCAGCCTTTCAAATACACACTGACACTGCTTACATACCTGGGTGCCGTTGTACAAAATAATCTTAGTGCTAATGTGACCGTAACTCCCATACCTTAACACAGACTTAAGGTAGCCTTAGCGCTAAGGTTGTTTTGTACAACCACACCCTGGCCTTTCATATACAGAGTCACTGCTTACATGCCTGGCCTTTTTAATACACAGATATTGCTTACATAATTGGCCTAAGGGCAAATATCTATGCTTCACAAAAGGAACTTGGAGCCAGTGTCAATCCTCAAGCCACGGGTAGTTGGCTACTCTAGTAGTTAAAACATTCACTTTTTACCTGGTAGGCCTTGGTTCGATTCCTTACATTGGTACACTGTATAAGTCAATTTCAGGTGTCCCCTGCCATGATGTTGCCGAATTACTACCAAAAGGGGCATAAACACATACTGACTGACTCACTCACTCTGTGACACTGAGGTTGCCACATGTATGTACTTACTGGAGGGTCTCGATCTCCGATGCATGCAGGAACGCTTGATGATCACAGTGCAGAACAAAGATCAATGGAGCTAACAACTCATGCATCCCCTGAAGAAGAAGAAGACGACAAAGACAAGGTTAAACACTCGATCCACTGGAGAAACATGAATGTTACATACATAACCTTCTGTGAAAGGGAAGCTACTAACAGACCTTCTTAGAAGGAATTGTGGGCACTGTTAAGCGAATTCAGAAAAATTCTACTGAAAGGAGATCCACATAGACACATGGATGGTAACTTCTACAAGTCAGGTGAGGTGAAATGGGGTTCAACATCATGTTCAAAACTACTGCACTTATATAGAGGGTATATATTGGATAATCCACTCAGACAAAGCATGTTGCATGCCATCTTTTAATGTCTTTTGGTATGTAGCAGCTGAGGATCCAACCACTAACATTCTGCTCTCCAGCAGACGCTCTTTCCATAAGACCACGAAGGTGATCACTCGTACATCTAGTACTGGTCACAATGACTACTGGGGATGCAAATGATTCTGGTAAATTCTATACATATAGCATAGAACTATTTTTGAAGAATTGCAGAATTATGGCTTTCATTTAAACTACTGAACCTTATATCTAGAGAAATGATACGACCATATTTGTTAACATAGCACCCAACATCAATCTGGGGGACTCTGATGTGGATTCTGATGAAGACACAGAACTCATGCTAGATTTGTCAAACACAGCAGACAAGCAGACACGCCTTCAACATCAATACACTTAGTTCCCATCATTTAAGCTAGAAAGAAAGTCTTGCACTGCAACTGACCTGTCTATAGCCTATTTCCATGTGTGTGCGACTATAGCAAAACAACACATTCATCATCATGTCACGCAACTCTTCAGATTTGAAAAACTCAAGTTCTGGAAAACTAAAACAACAGACAGACAACATAAGAACGGGGAATGAAACGAGAACATGTACAGGGAAGAGCTAAAATGACTAGGGGTCATGAAGTATTTAGTCAATATAAGTCATGCAAATCCACATCTACTGAAACACAAGCAGCATCAACATCATCAGCAGCAACAGCACCCCTAGCTCACATGACTCATCGCAAAGAATGGGCCAACATAACCATATTATTTTCATCTTTGTAGTTGTACATCACAGTCCCCATACATACTGGATATAAAACATTAGGGATCCTGAACATCTTTGGGGGACATTTTCATGAACTTGCGTGCTCAGCATTCAATACAAAAGTTTATGCCCTAAAATATTCATAGCCTATACATTTTTGTTCAGTAAGACAGCCATATTTCAATGCCATTAAATAACATAATCTGTGCTAGAAAATAGCAATGTTTGGTATCATAAGTATCCCTTTGAGCAGTTTCGCTGCGCTTCTGACAAGCAATGATGTGCTGAGGAGCTGTTTAGCACCAGGTCCACAGAAAGTAAAATAGAATTAGAAGTCATGCAAATTCTACTTAGGCCCAAGGACACCTACTCAGAAGGTCCCAAATCTTGACAATAAGAGTCGGGTGAGCTACAGTACATCAACAACCACATGCTACAAATGTCACACATGCTAAACTCGTGGACACACTGAAGTAAGAGAGAGCTGTGAAAAAAGGGAATGTAGAAATTACTTGCAACAACATCAGCACCACACTTGTTGCATATACATTGGTATCTTTGTCTTTGACACAAGGTGACTCACTTTGTCTGCATGAGTTGAAAAGACATGTTCCCTTTCCATGTAAACAAAACTAAATCTATGTCACATTACAGAGGCAGTGAATGTCACAAGTCACCCCAACCAAACCATCACACTTGAGACTATCTCTCTAGCCTCAAGCTTGCCATACACGCTTCTGTAGCCTGGTGAAGTGAACTTGATTGCCATCCCAGAACCCCCAACAAACCAATATCACTTCTGTAGCCTGGTGAAGTGAACTTGATTGCCATCCCAGAACCCCCAACAAACCAATATCACTTCTGTAGCCTGGTGAAGTGAACTTGATTGCCATCCCAGAACCCCCAACAAACCAATATCTCATGTGTACCCTGATGAAGTGAACTTGATTGCCATCCCAGAACCCCCAACAAACCAATATCACTTCCGTACCCCTGGTGAAGTGAACTTGATTGCCATCCCTGAACCCCCAACAAACCAATATCACTTCTGTAGCCTGGTGAAGTGAACTTGATTGCCATCCCAGAACCCCCAACAAACCAATATCACTTCTGTAGCCTGGTGAAGTGAACTTGATTGCCATCCCTGAACCCCCAACAAACCAATATCACTTCCGTACCCTGGTGAAGTGAACTTGATTGCCATCCAACAACCCCCAACAAACCAATATCACTTCTGTAGCCTGGTGAAGTGAACTTGATTGCCATCCCAGAACCCCCAACAAACCAATATCACTTCTGTAGCCTGGTGAAGTGAATTTGATTGCCATCCCAGAACCCCCAACAAACCAATATCTCATGTGTACCCTGATGAAGTGAACTTGATTGCCATCCCAGAACCCCCAACAAACCAATTTCACTTCCGTACTCTGGTGAAGTGAACTTGATTGCCATCCCTGAACCCCCAACAAACCAATATCACTTCTGTAGCCTGGTGAAGTGAACTTGATTGCCATCCCAGAACCCCCAACAAACCAATATCACTTCTGTAGCCTGGTGAAGTGAACTTGATTGCCATCCCAGAACCCCCAACAAACCAATATCACTTCTGTACCCTGGTGAAGTGAACTTGATTGCCATCCCAGAACCCCCAACAAACCAATATCACTTCTGTACCCTGGTGAAGTGAACTTGATTGCCATCCCAGAACCCCCAACAAACCAATATCACTTCTGTACCCTGGTGAAGTGAACTTGATTGCCATCCAACAACCCCCAACAAACCAATATCACTTCTGTAGCCTGGTGAAGTAGACTTGATTGCCATCCCAGAACCCCCAACAAACCAATATCACTTCTGTAGCCTGGTGAAGTGAACTTTGATTGCCATCCAGAACCCCAACAAACCAATATCTCATCTGTACCCTGGTGAAGTGAACTTGATTGCCATCCCAGAACCCCAACAAACCAATATCACTTCTGTACCCTGGTGAAGTGAACTTGATTGCCATCCCAGAACCCCCAACAAACCAATATCACTTCCGTAGCCCTGGTGAAGTGAACTTGATTGCCATCCAACAACCCCAACAAACCAATATCACTTCTGTAGCCTGGTGAAGTGAACTTGATTGCCATCCCAGAACCCCCAACAAACCAATATCACTTCTGTAGCCTGGTGAAGTGAACTTGATTGCCATCCCAGAACCCCCAACAAACCAATATCACTTCTGTACCCTGGTGAAGTGAACTTGATTGCCATCCAACAAACCCCAACAAACCAATATCACTTCTGTACCCTGGTGAAGTGAACTTGATTGCCATCCAACAACCCCCAACAAACCAATATCACTTCTGTAGCCTGGTGAAGTGAACTTGATTGCCATCCCAGAACCCCAACAAACCAATATCACTTCTGTAGCCTGGTGAAGTGAACTTGATTGCCATCCCAGAACCCCCAACAAACCAATATCACTTCTGTACCTGGTGAAGTGAACTTGATTGCCATCCCAGAACCCCCAACAAACCAATATCACTTCTGTAGCCTGGTGAAGTGAACTTGATTGCCATCCCAGAACCCCCAACAAACCAATATCACTTCTGTAGCCTGGTGAAGTGAACTTGATTGCCATCCCAGAACCCCAACAAACCAATATCACTTCTGTACCCTGGTGAAGTGAACTTGATTGCCATCCCAGAACCCCAACAAACCAATATCACTTCTGTACCCTGGTGAAGTGAACTTGATTGCCATCCCAGAACCCCAACAAACCAATATCTCTTCTGTACCCTGGTGAAGTGAACTTGATTGCCATCCCAGAACCCCCAACAAACCAATATCACTTCTGTACCCTGGTGAAGTGAACTTGATTGCCATCCCAGAACCCCCAACAAACCAATATCACTTCTGTACCCTGGTGAAGTGAACTTGATTGCCATCCCAGAACCCCCAACAAACCAATATCACTTCTGTAGCCTGGTGAAGTGAACTTGATTGCCATCCAGAACCCCCAACAAACCAATATCACTTCTGTAGCCTGGTGAAGTGAACTTGATTGCCATCCAGAACCCCAACAAACCAATATCACTTCTGTAGCCTGGTGAAGTGAACTTGATTGCCATCCCAGAACCCCCAACAAACCAATATCACTTCTGTACCCTGGTGAAGTGAACTTGATTGCCATCCCAGAACCCCAACAAACCAATATCTCTTCTGTACCCTGGTGAAGTGAACTTGATTGCCATCCCAGAACCCCCAACAAACCAATATCACTTCCGTTACCCTGGTGAAGTGAACTGCCATCCAACAAGTAACAAACCATATCACTTCTGTAGCCTGGTGAAGTGAACTTGATTGCCATCCAACAACCCCCAACAAACCAATATCACTTCTGTAGCCTGGTGAAGTGAACTTGATTGCCATCCCAGAACCCCCAACAAACCAATATCACTTCTGTAGCCTGGTGAAGTGAACTTGATTGCCATCCCAGAACCCCCAACAAACCAATATCACTTCTGTACCCTGGTGAAGTGAACTTGATTGCCATCCCAGAACCCCCAACAAACCAATATCACTTCTGTACCCTGGTGAAGTAAGCTCATTAGACTTGATTGACTGTCCTGGAAGCCCAACCAAACCATCACACTTGGGACCATCCCTTTAGCCCCAACCCAAATAACTTCCTGCTGGTGGAAGAGTGACATGTGGACTCACAAGACCGCTACTGAAGTAACCTTCCCTCCTTACCCCCATTGAACTATTGCCTACACTCCACCTGACTTGTATCACGTACATATGTATCTATTTGGGACCCTTCAGCCAACTGATGTCAAAGATGGAGCACTACTACAATGCAGATGCAACACAGTACATTGTACCTGGCGATAAGACAGATCTGGGTTCACTTTTGCATAGATGAACAGAATATCCACCATTAAATTCCTCAACTGGTTCGACTGAAAAAATTCTATTTTGGGGTAGCTGAAAAAATAAAACATTCTCATTAAGGAATAATGACAATGACTGGGTCAGAGTAGCCTGCTGTTGAACTCTTTCCTCGTGATTCTCTCAACGGGCTCATGGAAGAGCTGCACAAGAGACTAGTTACAGCTCCAATATACTACAATAATATATCCAATATACCTCAGGTACAGTACAACCAGAAATTATTGAGAATTTTAAAAAGATTGTAATTTTTTTTAAAATTTTCACTCATTACTCATGTATCCAATGTGAATATTAGCAGAACATAACTCCAGATTCAAAGACAGGTGAACAGTTAGTATTTTGTCAAGTCACCATGGGCAGCAATGCAGGCTTCAATGCGGCGGGGCATACTACTAATCAAACAAGTTAGAAAGTCGTGGTCCATGCTGTCCCAATATCGGACCACCTCTTCTTTCATTTCAGCAATATTTGTCAGATTTTTCTTGTTGACACTTTCCTTCGTAAGTCCCCAAACATTTTCTATTGGATTTAGGTCAGGGCTATAGCTTGGCAAATCTAATGATGTCATATTTGGGTCCGAAACCAGGCCTGTGAATGCTTTGAACGATGTTTTGGGTCGTTGTCCTGCTGGAAAATCCAAACATTTCCATAGAACACGTGAGCAGATTGAAGTAAATGTCCCTCGAGAATATCTGTGTACCGCTCACTCTTCATATTCCCTTCAAATACACAGAGGGGCGTTGCCCCTAACACATATATGCCACCCCACACGTTAAATTTCGGACTGTACTTTGGGCGCTGATACAATGGTTTTTCAGTTTGTTTGGTCCAGGATTTCACTGTATTAGGACACAGCCACACAGAACTTGCATCTAAATTTCTATGCTGTAAGCACCAGGTCAACCTTCGCTCCTTTTGTTCAGGTTTCATGATCAGTGATGGAATTCCTTGACTTTTCTGCCAACGATAAACAGTGGACAAAGGGATGCCTTTTCTACTTGAAATCACTTTAGCTGATCTGATATCCTTGTTATAATACTCTTAAATCAACTTCCTCTTCTCTAAATCATCCATACTGAGGGTCATTGAAATTGTCCTCTGCTAGCAAGTAAACAAAGGGGGATAACTCTTCACAAACTAATGAAAAAGGATGAACGGAGTTGTCTCTCTTGAATGAAACCAAGCACTTGACAGCTGGTCAAGGTTGTTTATACTAGAAATCCAATTAAACATATTCCTAAAATTCTCAATAATTTTTGGTTATACTATATAACTCCAACATATACAATAATATATCCAATATACCTGAGGTATAACTCCAACATATACAATAATACTGACTGACTGACTGAGTTTTGGTTTTACGTCGCTTTTAGCAATATTCCAGCAACATCACGGCGGGGTACACCAGAAATGGGTATACAATAATATATCCAATATACCTCAGGCATAACTCCAACATATACAAGAACATATCCAATATACCTCAGGCATAACTCCAACATATACAAGAACATATCCAATATACCTCAGGCATAACTCCAACATATACAATAATATATCCAATATACCTCAGGCATAACTCCAACATATACAATAATACATCCAATATACCTCAGGCACAGCTCCAACATATACAATAATATATCCAATATACCTCAGGCATAACTCCAACATATACAAGAACATATCCAATATACCCCAGGTATAACTCCAACATATACAAGAACATATCCAATATACCCCAGGTATAACTCCAACATATACAATATCATATCCAATATACCTCAGGTATAACTCCAACATATACAAGAACATATCCAATATACCTCAGGCATAACTCTAACATATACAATAATATATCCAATATACCTCAGGCATAACTCCAACATATACAATAATACATCCAATATACCTCAGGCACAGCTCCAACATATACAATAATATATCCAATATACCTCAGGTATAACTCCAACATATACAATATTATATCCAATATACCTCAGGTATAACTCCAACATATACAAGAACATATCCAATATACCCCAGGTATAACTCAAACATATACAATATTATATCCAATATACCTCAGGTAGAACTCCATCATATACAATAATATATCCAATATATCCCAGGTAAAACTCCAACATATACAATAATATATCCAATATACCCCAGGTATAACTCAAACATATACAATATCATATCCAATATACCTCAGGTATAACTCCAACATATACAAGAACATATCCAATATACCTCAGGCATAACTCCAACATATACAAGAACATATCCAATATACCTCAGGCATAACTCTAACATATACAATAATATATCCAATATACCTCAGGCATAACTCCAACATATACAATAATACATCCAATATACCTCAGGCACAGCTCCAACATATACAATAATATATCCAATATACCTCGGGCATAACTCCAACATATACAATAATATATCCAATATACCTCAGGCATAACTCCAACATATACAATAATATATCCAATATACCTCAGGCACAGCTCCAACATATACAATAATATATCCAATATACCTCTCCAGGGCATAACTCCAACATATACAATAATATATCAATATACCTCAGGTATAACTCCAACATATACAATAATATATCCAATATACCTCAGGCACAGCTCCAACATATACAATAATATATCCAATATACCTCAGGCATAACTCCAACATATACAATAATACATCCAATATACCTCAGGCACAGCTCCACATATATGCAATAATATCCAATATACCTCAGGCATAACTCCAACATATACAATAACATATCCAATATACCTCAGGCATAACTCCAACATATACAATAATATATCCAATATACCTCAGGCATAACTCCAACATATACAATAATATATCCAATATACCTCAGGTATAACTCCAACATATACAATAATATATCCAATATACCTCGGGTATAACTCCAACATATACAATAATATATCCAATATACCTCAGGCATAACTCCAACATATACAATAATATATCCAATATACCTCAGGCATAACTCCAACATATACAATAATATATCCAATATAACTCCAGTATAGGCAATAATGCATGCACTAGAATTAATATATTCAGGTTAAATCTCAGGACAACATGACATGTCATTACCCACTTAGGGCGCCTATAAGTCAGGAATGCAGGCAGAACCTATCCCAATGTAGGTCCACAAGTTAAGTAAACCATTGAAGAAGGTCCAGATACAGGGGACTGCAATGACTTCAGTACATGTACAACATGCTATACAATAGAACTGGTGCCACTAACTACCTGGCCCTGTACTTACGTTCGGATCACATCCTGTTTAATTGTTAATCTCAGTTCGTTATCCTGGAAAAATTGGTTCCATGGACTCTGAAAAAGAAATTCCTCATCATTAAGAAACTGGTGAGCAACCAATGTCACAGTGCAATATCAACAGGTAGACCTGAGTCAGAGGGTGATATGTATAGGAGAAACCACTCCTACTCGGGTTTACTAGAGATTGTGAACCCTGAGAGGAGGGATGTTCCCGACTCTCAGGGTTCACAATCTCTAGTAAACCCGAGTAGGAGTGGTTTCTCCAACTTATCAACCGTTTTTGCGTAAAATATCTATTAAAATAATATACAGTGAAGCCCCATTAGTCCGGACTCCGATAATCCGGATGTCTCGGCTCCCGGACGATTTAAGCTTGTTACCAATCTATGCCTATTTAATTTGCCTCGATAATCCGGAAATTCGGTTTCCAGAACCTGACGGTAAGTAGCTGTAACCAATCAGTAAAAAAACAGTAAATTGCTTCACAGTCCGGATGCTGTAAGTTGTGTTCACGAACCATAACACCACCCCCCCCGGCGATGTTTACTTAACTGGCCATAAACAATAAAAACTCGGTGTCATGGAGTTGACAAGATGAACTCTTGTTAACTTTTGAGAAATTAAGGGTTGTTGTTTTAATTAGACATTAAAAGCTCCCGACTGAAGATGCTGTACATTTACACTTTGTACATTGATGTGATGAATTCAATGAGGAAGGTTAAACGAACACAAACAATGAAAGACTTTTTTGCTATGACATTAAATGCTTATTTGTTTTATCCAGATTCGTGTCGTTTTGAACTTGGGTCTTGATTCAGAAGTCCGGACGATTCGCAATCCGGGCGAATTTGCTGAGAAACGCAACCGTCCGGATTAACGAGGCTTCACTGTAGAGGTGTGGGAACCCACTTTACAATTCACATCCGAGGATTACAATTCACATCCCAGGGATTTACAATACACATCCCAGGGATTTACAATACACATCACTGATTATATAGTCTAACCATATGATACGATTTTGAAAAGTCTGTCTGACATGACCCGTTATACGTGAGGTAGGTTGATAACTACAGGAAGGGCCCTGTCTAAGGGTGATATCTACAGGAAGGGCCCTGTCTGAAGGTGATATCTACAGGAAGGGCCCTGTCTGAAGGTGATATCTACAGGAAGGGCCCTGTCTGAAGGTGATATCTACAGGAATGGCCCTGTCTGAAGGTGATATCTACAGGAAGGGCCCTGTCTGAAGGTGATATCTACAGGAAGGGCCCTGTCTAAGAGTAATATCTACAGGAAGGGCCCTGTCTGAAGGTGATATCTACAGGAAGGGCCCTGTTTGAAGGTGATATCTAAAGGGAGGGCCCTGTCTGAAGGTGATATCTACATGAGGGGCCCTGTCTGAAGGTGATATTTAGAGGAAGGGCCCTGTCTGAAGGTGATATCTACAGGAATGGCCCTGTCTAAGGGTGATAACTACAGGAAGGGCCCTGTCTCAGGGTGATAACTACAGGAATGGCCCTGTCTGAAGGTGATATCTACAGGAAGGGCCCTGTTTGAAGGTGATATCTAAAGGGAGGGCCCTGTCTGAAGGTGATATCTACATGAGGGGCCCTGTCTGAAGGTGATATTTAGAGGAAGGGCCCTGTCTGAAGGTGATATCTACAGGAATGGCCCTGTCTAAGGGTGATAACTACAGGAAGGGCCCTGTCTCAGGGTGATAACTACAGGAATGGCCCTGTCTGAAGGTGATATCTACAGGAAGGGCCCTGTCTGAAGGTGATATCTACAGGGAGGGCCCTCTCTAAGAGTAATATCTACAGGAATGGCCCTGTCTGAAGGTGATATCTACAGGAAGGGCCCTGTCTGAAGGTGATATCTACAGGAAGGGCCCTGTCTGAAGGTGATATCTAGAGGAAGGGCCCTGTTTGAATGTGACATTTACACGAAGGGCACTGTCGGAGTGTGACATAAATAGGAACACTACATATGAGCTGTACAAAACATACTTCAGACACAAATGTAAAACCAGTAGTTCAAAGCTTGAACTCACTTCATCATCTTGAGACAGAGGGTTGTTGATGGCAATGTCCACACGATCTACAGCCTTCCGGGGATTCACAATCAACTGGAAAAGAGACTTACATCATTAAGACAGTAAACACAGCGATTAGTGTGTGAGTGAGTGAGTACCCCACTGGCTAATCATTGACCTGTGCCCACCCGGCATATCACTGACCTGAGCCCCAGGTGGTTACCATTGACCTGTGCCCCACTGGCTAATCACTCACCTGTGCCCCTATTGGCTAATCATTGACCTGTTCCCCCACCGGCTAATCATAGACATGTGCCCCCATTGGCAAATCATTGACCTGTGCCCCCACTGGCTAATCATCGACCTGTGCCCCCATTGGCTAATCATCGACCTGTGCCCCTAATTTCTAATCACTCACCTGTGCACCCACTGGCTAATCACTTACCTGTGCCCCCATTGGCTTATCATCGGCCTGTGCCCCCATTGGCAAATCATTGACCTGTGCCCCCATTGGCTAATCACTGACCTGTGCCCCCATTGGCTAATCATTGACCTGTGTACCCACTGGCTAATCACTGACCTGTGCCCCCACTGGCTAATTATTGACCTGTTTCCCCATTGGCTAATCATCGACCTGTGCCCCCACCGGCTAATCATTGACCTGTGCCCCCACCGGCTAATCATTGACCTGTGCCCCCACCAGCTAATCACTGACCTGTGCCCCCACCAGCTAATCACTGACCTGTGCCCCCACCAGCTAATTGTTGACCTGTGCCCCCATTGGCTAATCATTTACCTGTTACCCCATTGGCTAATCATTTACCTGTGCCCCTACTGGCTAATCACTGACCTGTGTCTGCACTAGCTAATCACTGACCTGTGTCTGCACTGGCTAACCACTGACCTGTGTCTGCACTGGCTAACCACTGACCTGTGTCTGCACTGGCTAACCACTGGCCTGTGCCCCCACTGGCTAATCACTGACCTGTGGCCCCATTGGCTTATCATTGACCTGTGCCCCAACTGGCTAATCACTGACCTGTGCCCCCATTGGCTAATAATCGACCTGTGCCCCCATTGGCTAACCACTGACCTGTGCCCCCACTGGCTAACCACTGACCTGTGTCTGCACTGGCTAACCATTGACCTGTGTCTGCACTGGCTAACCACTGACCTGTGCCCCCACTGGCTAATCATTGACCTGTGGCCACATTGGCTTATCATTGACCTGTGCCCCAACTGGCTAATCATTGACCTGTGCCCCCATTGGCTAATAATCGACCTGTGCCCCCATTGGCTAACCACTGACCTGTGCCCCAACTGGCTAACCACTGACCTGTGTCTGCACTGGCTAACCATTGACCTGTGTCTGCACTGGCTAACCACTGACCTGTGTCTGCACTGGCTAACCACTGACCTGTGTCTGCACTGGCTAACCACTGACCTGTGTCTGCACTGGCTAACCATTGACCTGTGTCTGCACTGGCTAACCACTGACCTGTGTCTGCACTGGCTAACCATTGACCTGTGTCTGCACTGGCTAACCATTGACCTGTGTCTGCACTGGCTAACCATTGACCTGTGTCTGCACTGGCTAACCATTGACCTGTGTCTGCACTGGCTAACCACTGACCTGTCTGCACTGGCTAACCATTGACCTGTGTCTGCACTGGCTAACCATTGACCTGTGTCTGCACTGGCTAACCATTGACCTGTGTCTGCACTGGCTAACCATTGACCTGTGTCTGCACTGGCTAACCATTGACCTGTGTCTGCACTGGCTAACCACTGACCTGACCTGTGTCTGCACTGGCTAACCACTGACCTGTGTCTGCACTGGCTAACCACTGACCTGTGTCTGCACTGGCTAACCACTGACCTGTGTCTGCACTGGCTAACCACTGACCTGTGCCCCCACTGACTAACTACTCACCTCAAACAGCAGAACTTTGACAATGGGCCATTTTCAGGATTATTAGAAATTTCTGAATTTAGAATGGGCCACTGCCCTTTAATAAGTCATTTCTTATTCTAATGTGCAAAATGACCCATGGCCCCTGCCTTTCCCAATCCCTTAAACAGTGTTGAGAATAGAATAAAATAAGTTAATTTAAAAAAATGCATTAATTTTCATGAAAACAAATATGTTTGGGATTCAGGTTTCACGTAAGCAGATGTTGAGAGTTTAAAAATTTATCTTTGATGAGACAAAGGTTTTTCAGGATAAGCACTCCCTTGGCAACTGGTCTAAAAGCTGAATAATGTTGTGAAGGATTTGGGGAGCATGTTGGGAGTTGTGCAAGGTATAAGGCTTCCTGGCATATAAATCTGGCATGGTTCCAACAAACATTCCTGACATATATTCTATACTTACTGGTTCTTCTATGCCTTATATCTTGCTTTATTCCATTCCTACCAATATCATGGTGATGGGGTAGCCTAGTGGTAAAAGCAGTTTGCTCATCATGCCACAAGCCTGGGTTCGATTCCACACATGGGTACAATGTGTTAAGCCCAGTTCTGGTGTGATATTGCAGGAATATTGCTAAAAGAAGCATAAAACCAACTCATTCACTCACTCACTACTAATGTCATGAGAATCTCCTCTTACATTACCCATGATGTTTGTGATAATGTAGAAATTACCACACCAGTACCTAGTAGATACACTTCATATTGACCTAAGAAGCAAACGTAAGCGAAGAAGTCAGTCAGGGACAAGTGCAGTAATTCATTTACCTATCATGTAAATGCACGTCAGCAAATGTTTAAAAAATGAGTTGATAACATCCAAAGGCAAGAAGAAAGTTTTCGGCAACACCTTAAGTAAGGAGTACTGTTTTCAAAGCGAGGCTTTGCTCCTTTAAAAATTGATGGTCACGGTCAGACAGCTAGAAAGATGTTTCTTGCGGCATAACACATAAATACATTCAATGATATGAAATGCTCTTAACATAACAATGTCACAGAATGTGTTTGGGTTGGATGTGAGAGGACGGTGGATGGGATATGGAAGATGGGGAGATGGGAATATCAACTGAAAAGGTCGATCAGATGAAACTTACTTCCTGCTTCTCATGAATCATCTGAAAATTAGAGTCCACACATTGGTCATGCCAAGTGAAGTGCAGATGACATGTAATGTCATATAACATATCAACTTTTGTTCAAGAAGGTCCTATGAGACATGACCTCCAGTGTGTCAGGTATGACATGAGTTGAAAGTTCTATACAATGAAATCTTTAGCCTTCATGTAAAGTAAGGTACGCATGGCTGTTACAAAGGTCTAAAACCCTTTTCATATAAACTGGCTGTGTATCCATGGTGATATTGTCTGTATTTTAAGGGATGACACTTCTACTTTGACATGTTCAAAGATACATCTAAAGGGAGCTAAAAGAACAATGTTTTGGTAGTGAGGGAGGGAGTATTTTTATACACTACTTTTAGCAATATTCCAGCATATCATGATGTTGGAGTCTAGAAAAGGGCTTTAATTAAATGTACCCATGTGAGAAATCAAACCCGGACCTTCGCTGTGATGAGTGAATGCTTTAAACCGCTTGGCTTCCCCCACTGCCCCTTTGGTATCAAACATCCATTTACATCCTATCCACGTATATTTGTCCATGCATTCTATATGTATGCTGATGTGTGCAGATCACAAAGTAAAGAATGTTTTAATGATAGTTATCATCAGGACATACATTCATGTACGTGTTTGAGTCTAGTACCTTGCTAGTAAGGTACCTGGCAATATCACTGTTCTGTATATCCTCATTTACTTTCTGCTTCACCATGAACATGTTAAGTCAGTTCACAGGGGAAAAAAGTCAATGGATCCACAACAGTTGACACACCCCTCACCATATAATTACCTCCCTTGGAACTATGGTTCCATTGAGCTAAATCATTTCAAAATGGCGAGTTCATAGACGTGCAGGGACTTATATGCAAAATATGATGTGCCTCTTTTTCAGAATTCAGATTCATCAAGTTGACTCAATATAAATGATAAAAAGCAATTGTATAACAATCTCAAGAAGAGATATTGATGTCGTAACTCACAGGTTCGAACACACATGTAAACTTAATGAACAAGTGACAGAAGAAAAGTTAGGATTTTTCAACACAATTTTGCAGACATGATGTATTTAGTTACCACACAAAGATGACATCTGGGGCACAAGATTGAGATAAACATTTTTTGTAAACACGAAAAAGTTCATATATCTATTTTGTTGTTGATCTTCCAGATCTTATGTTGAAAAATGCAATACCAATGAAGAAAAACTGAAGGAAGTTGCAGTAAAATGTGTAATAAAAGTAATAACAGTAAAATGTGTAAGAGTGTTCTAGTAAATTGTGTTACTAAAATAATAACCGTAAAATCTGTAAGAGTGTAATATGACTTGAGTGAGAAATGAGTTTTATTATTTTACATTGCTTTATACAAAAATATACAATGTGGCTAACTACAATTTCCACAACTGACCTGGTTCTTTAAGACCTCATACTTGTTCCTCCAGTCCTGGCACACTTTCAGCCATTGGCTGATGTCATCTGGCAACACCTCCAGGTACACCTGCATAACATCACCCACTTTACACCAGCAGAGCTTATCAAATACATGTATTGCCAAGTGTTAATCCCACACATATAAGGAAACAATGATGCAGTGTTTGATTTCACAGAAATGGTTCTGCTCTGTTTAATTTGCTAACAAAATGTTATTGATGGAAATTGGGATTAGTGGTTTCTGTAATGTCCTGAATACAGGTTTTCAGATTTCAACAATACTGTACCTTCCAAACCACGCTTCGGAACCTGCTACTGCGAAGTCTGCCTTCTATTCCATGTTTCTTCAACTTGAGCAAGTAGCCAGGTGTGTTGAACAGACGTTCCCACTCAGCACTGTAACAGTTACCTCATGTATGACAAGCAGGTCTACAGTGAAACTCTACCTGGTATGGAACACTGTCTACAGTGAAACTCTACCTGGTATCGAACACTGTCTACAGTGAAACTCTACCTGGTATGGAACACTGCAGGTCTACAGTGAAACTCTACCTGGTATGGAACACTGTCTGCAGTGAAACTCTACCTGGTATGGAACACTGTCTACAGTGAAACTGTACCTGGTATGGAACACTGTATACAGTGAAACTGTACCTGGTATGGAACATTGAGTACAGATGAAACTCTACCTGGTATGAAACACTGTCTACAGATGAAACTGTACCTGGTATGGAACATTGACTACAGATGAAACTGTACCTGGTATGAAACACTGTCTACAGCTGAAACTGTACCTGGTATGAAACACTGTCTACAGTGAAACTCTACCTGGTATGGAACACTGTCTACAGCTGAAACTGTACCTGGTATGGAACATTGACTACAGCTGAAACTCTACCTGGTATGAAACACTGTCTACAGATGAAACTGTACCTGGTATGGAACATTGACTACAGATGAAACTGTACCTGGTATGAAACACTGTCTACAGCTGAAACTGTACCTGGTATGGAACATTGGCTACAGATGAAACTCTACCTGGTATCGAACACTGTCTACAGCTGATACTCTACATGGTATGGAACACTGTCTACAGCTGAAACTACGCTGGAGAAAGTCTACCTTCAATTGATTATATTATCCTTAAGAAAGACATTGTCTACTGTACATGATTAAACTACCCTGTTGAAAATCATTGTCTAAAGTGATCAACTGTAAATACAAGATGCATGTTGAAAGAAAAAGTACATACTATATTGAATTCCTGGGACAGTTTCTTGACTGGTTCAGATTTAATATTCACACAGCCTAGTGGTTTAAGCCAAAGACCCGGATTGATTCCCCACATGTGTGAAGCCCATTTTTGGTGTGAAACCGCCGTGATATTGCTGGAATATTGCTAAAAGTGGCGTAAAACTAAACTCACTCACTCACACACTCTGAATGTGTTATTCCCTCCTGGCAACAAACGGTATATATCACATAGTAACATCTGATATTGAATGTGTTATTCCCACTCAACAACAGGTTGTTGAGATATTATCTCAGTCCACTTAACCGCTGTATGCGACTCCCACACTGAGACCTAGCTGAACTCACAGCCACTGATAATGCCAATTAACCATTGTGTCAGATAAACAGCAATGACTTTCACAATAAACACGTCACACACTTAACAGATACTGTCAGACTATTGGGTCAAATATTCATATCAACTCATCCGGTCTCTCGTAGAAAGTGATACAGGTGTTGATTATTTCATCACATAACTCTGTGATGACACAGGACTAAAACTGAGTCAATTATGTCCATACATATCCACCAAATGGGGTTACTCCGAAGCTTCATGTAATCTCATAATATTATCTTCTGTCATCTAACTCAATACTCATCATGACTTAACTGAATACCCTCTGCACAATGGTCCAATATGGATGGATTGGTGATGGATTGGTTTGTATGACCCCATGTCTGGACACTTGGTCACATAATGGTCATTCTGAACATCTGGAAAACTCTGTTTCTAGTGGCCAAAGTTTAATACACAGAAAATCTCCCATTATATGTAGTCTAATATGTTGTGCACTATTGGTCAAAAAGACAATCTGAAATGTATAGATATAACTCATATTTCAACAATTTAATTAAATTCTGCTTAAACATTTTTTGAGGCATTTGGTTATGAATCACGATCAAACAGTGACAATACCAGGTGTTTGTAATGGGCATGTAACCATTCACAAACACATGCAAAGCCTAGTAAACTGGTCAGCTGAAAAAAACATGGCAATATGGTACAACTGAAAACGGGGAATTTGCATTTTTACTTCACTTTTGTAACTGAGTCAATATATTGACTTCAAATTTCCTTACATTGACATTTATAGATGAGCATAATGAAGGGACATGAACATGCACTAGTTGCCTGGATATGTGCGCTATATAAATATCCTATAATAACAATAATAATAACATAGGTCGATGGTCTATCAACAGGAACAACCACTGAATATGTACAGGTTCAGACAGAGTATGACTTTAAAACATATATCAATGGTTCCTTGTGGTTTTTATATCATACATTTCATACAAAAGTGGCAATGTCCAGTTAAATAGGCCTGCAGGCTCATTACAGATAAGGATTGATACTGCTGAATCCTTGATGTTGCTTGTGCAGTAAAGCCAGTGTGCTAAAAAACACCTCAATTAGCAGTGGGGTCTTATGTAGTTAGGTTGTATGGAGTGTTAGGACAATTGTGGCAGAAAGCTAGTGTTTGAGATGTCTGTTGAGTTCAGAGGAAGGGAAATGTGAGTGGACAGTATAATGTGAGTAGGAGTGAGGTGAAAGGTAATCTTACTGCAATGTTATAATATCAGAACACAAACCTCTGTATCATATTGCATAACATACTTTAACAAGAAGACAAAGTCATCAATATCCCCCGCAATGGCAAAATACTCTTCATGATTATGTCTACGAGTTATGATTATGTCAAATATTTAGGTGTGTATATAGAAAAGTGGAAGGAGAGCATTGAAAGGAGCACTATCACCAATTTCAGTCTCAGTCAAACTTGTTGCCATGGAAACGCCAAAAATATTTTATTCAGAATTCCAAAACTACCGAAAGGCACCAGTACACCACCAGATCTATGTATACACCAAGATTGGTGAAGAAATAGTGAATGGTTTTAGAGTTCTGCTCCGGAAAAGAGCACAACCACCAATTTCAGTCTAAGTCAAACTTGTTGCCATGGAAACGCCAAAAATATTTTATTCAGAATTCCAAAACTACCAAAAGGCACCAGTACACCACCAGATCAATCTGTGTGCCAAGTTTGGTGAAGAAACATTGAACGGTTTTAGAGTTCTGCTCCGGAAAAGACCACTATCACCAATTTCAGTCTAAGTCGAACTTGTTGCCATAAAAACGCCAAAAATATTTTATTCAGAATTCCAAAACTACCAAAAGGCACCAGTACACCACCAGATCTATGTATGTGCCAAGTTTGGTGAAGAAATATTGAATGGTTTTAGAGTTCTGCTCCGGAAAAGACCACTACCACCAATTTCAGTCTAAGTCGAACTTGTTGCCATAAAAACGCCAAAAATATTTTATTCAGAATTCCAAAACTACCAAAAGGCATCAGTACACCACCAGATCAATGTATGTGCCAAGTTTGGTGAAGAAATATTGAATGGTTTTAGAGTTCTGCTCCGGAAAAGACAAATGTGCACGGACGGACGGACGAAGTCCATTTTACTACCCCCCGCAAAACGCGTTGCGGGGGATAACAACATAGAATACCATGGAATAACAGGGAATGTTCCCCAACCTTCATCTACATGTGGAATAATAGCATAACACATGATTCTCATATGGAATAATATAAGTTGTCCCTGTAGTGCTAAGTATTTGAGACATAAGTGCTGCAATGGGCAAATTGAAAGCAAATGTGCCTGTGGGTGTTCCACACATTTGAGGGGTGCTTCAAGGGGGAGACCAGGTGGTTTGTCCTACCTATACTTGGACCCGTCCCTAATCACAGTCCACATCCAGTCGCTCTGTACAACTGTCTCAATACCCCTGCAATATCCAGCATCCTTTGTGCAACAGTATGGACAACACTGCCTGTCATGTCTCAAGTACAGGATGCTCCTCTTGACCGTGACTTATGGTGGCTAATCAAATGGTATACATGTGCGTTAGAGTGTCTGATCTATTGTGTTAACTGGGTATCTGTACCCAGTTGTGTTTACAGAGTATCTGTACCCAGTGGTGTTTACAGGTTGTCTGCACCTGGCAGTGTTTACAGGGTATCTGTACCCAGTGGTGTTTACATGGTATCTGTACCTGGTGGTTTTAACTGGGTATCTGTACCCAGTGGTGTTTACAGGGTATCTGTACCCAGTGGTGTTTACTGGGTGTCTGTACCCGGTGGTGTTTACAGAGTATCTGTTCCCGGTGGTGTTTACAGGGTATCTGTACCCGGTGGTGTTTACAGGGTATCTGCACCTGGCAGTGTTTACAGGGTATCTGTACCCAGTGGTGTTTACAGGGTATCTGTACCCAGTGGTGTTTACAGGGTTTCTGTACCTGGTGGTGTTAACAGGATATCTGTACCTGGTAGTGTTAACTGGGTATCTGTACCCATTGGTGTTTACAGGGTATCCGTACCTGGTGGCGTTTACAGGGTATCTGTACCCGGTGGTGTTTACAGAGTATCTGTATCCGGTGGTGTTTACAGAGTATCTGTACCCGGTGGTGTTTAGGGTATCTGGGTATCTGTACCTGGTGGTGTTTACAGCATATCTGTACCTGGTGGCGTTTACAGGGTATCTGTACCTGGTGGTGTTTACAGAGTATCTGTACCCAGTGGTGTTTACAGAGTATCTGTACCTGGTGGTATTTACAGGGTATCTGTACCTGGTGGTAGTTACAGGGTATCTGTACCTGGTAGTGTTTACGGGGTGTCTGCACCTGGTGGCGTTTACAGGGTGCCTGTACCTGGTGATGATCACATTGGTGGTGTTCACATTGTTCCTTTACCAGTTGGTGTGTACAGTGAATCTGTACCTTGTCTTGTTTACAATGTTCCTGTACCTGATGGTGTTTACATTGTTAATTAGCGCCATGAGCAACCACGTGGTGATTGGATATAGGGCGCTATACAAATGGACTTATTACTTATTTAATTATTATTAATGTACCTGGGGGTGTTTACAGTGTACCTGACTTCTGGTGGTGTTTGCTGGGTACCAGTACCCAGGGATGTTTACAAGGTTCTGTATCCAAAGTGTCTGCAGGGTGGTGTTTACTGAGTATCCTTACCCAGATTGTTCAGAGAATATCAGTACCCAGGGATGTTTTCTGTGTTTATGGGGTATCAGTACCCAGGGATGTTTACAGGGTATCTGTATCCAGAGTATTAGAAGGGTACCTGCACCTAGAGTGTTTACAGAGTGTCTGTACCAAGTGGTATTTACAGGGTATCTGTCCCAGGGATATTCACTGTGTATCTGTACCCAGGGGTGTTTATAGTCTACCTGCTTCGGTTGGACATACCTGTAGGAGTGGGAATAGCTGACGCTCGGGGAGTCCAGCTCCTCCGGTCCATCTCCGCTCTCCACACTGCTCTTACGCACCAGGTTGTTGTTGTCCTCTGAGCCACTTCCTGTCAAGACAGGTGGAACAATGTGGGTTGTGAATCAGAATCTTCATCTGAGATGTGGCAACAGATGGTACTCAGTAACGTCACCTGACATTTGTGTACTGGATACACATCCTACACACCTACACAGGTAACTACTGATCGTACTGGATACACATCCTACACACGCCTACACAGGTAACTACTGATCGCATTGGATACACATCCTACACACGCCTACACAGGTAACTACTGATCGTACTGGATACACATCCTACACACGCCTACACAGGTAACTACTGATCGTACTGGATATACATCCTACACACGCCTACACAGGTAACTACTGATCGTACTGGATACACATCCTACACACACCTACACAGGTAACTACTGATCGTACTGGATACACACCCTACACACACCTACACAGGTAACTACTGATCGTACTGGATACACATCCTACACACACCTACACAGGTAACTACTGATCGTACTGGATATAACATACAAGGGGCTTCACATTGTATAAGCACAATGAAGAGCGATTGACAGCAGTTCCAGTACTGAGTCCCATGGGGTACTCGTACTGCTGTCAATCCCTCTCAATGCGCTTTGCCCGGTGGCCCTTCAGGACCAAAAACTCTATGACTGCTCTGTACTCAAGTTTATCCATTTCTGCCGTTTCAGTAGGGTTACATGTGAATGATATAAATCATTCTCCAATATCATAGAATTATTTTTATCATCCACATATGAAAAGTATTTAGGCTCAAAACCTTTTGATAGCCCCTCGTATGTACATTTTGGTCATAATGGGTATATAACAAGGATAACTATTGGCCATGACAGGTGTGTGTAACAAGGGTAGCTATTGGTCATAATGGGTAATTAAAAAGGGTTGGATTTCAAAAAGCTTTGGAGCATCCATGGCTGTGATTTAGTTAGGTTTACTGCTGCAGTGAACAGTATTCCAGCCAAATCCCCACACGTCAGCTCAAGGATGACAGATATCAGAAGAGATGCATGTCACAGGCTTTGACTACTACCCCAAAACCCACAAGCATATGGAGAACTGGAATTCAAACTCCCGATCTCAGGTGTCAGGAGTGCCCAAGGGACACAACTCCGGACAGCGAATTGTAGTGCCATGGTATCTGTGAAGTTAGACTCTAGCCCCGAGTGTGTTTCTATCTAATACAATTAGCTAATAAAAAGTAACAACAGTAAGAATAGTTACTGGAAATGATTTCAACAGATCAGTTTGGCTAGTAGACTAGTATGGCAGACAAACAAAACAACCAGGCTAGTATGGCAGACAAACAAAACAACCAGACTAGTATGGCAGACAAACAAAACAACCAGACTAGTATGGCAGACAAACAAAACAACCAGACTAGTATGGCAGACAAACAAAACAACCAGACTAGTATGGCAGACAAACAAAACAACCAGACTAGTATGGCAGACAAACAAAACAACCAGACTAGTATGGCAGACAAACAAAACAACCAGGCTATATTGCTGTCATTAATGAGCACAATAGTACTCAGCAGACAGAACCAAGAACACATGAATACTGAAGCATCTATCTAGGCTTATAAGCTTGTAATGAAAGAAGAACATTCCTTATGCACAAGAGTGAAGCTCATCACTTTCCTGGCAGCAATGTTGAATATCTAATTTGAACCTCAAAAATAAGGTAGAAGTGTAATGCAATTAACTGGTTAACAATTGTAACTCACCATTTTTATCAAAGGTGTCGATGGCATTCAGAATATCATCCTTAGAAGGAGCCTGTGAGAGGGTTTTCTTGGGTTTGGATCCGGTCCTCAGCCGCCCCAACACCGATTCCATGGTGAACCTGAAACATGTAATACACAGTATGTCAACACTTGCTTCTGTGAAGATGGACGGACATGACTTGTAGATGGGAAAATCAACAATTGTTTTATTCTGGTGTGGCTTTTAATCTCAGCCACCAGGGACCTGGAACACTGAACCAAAACAATCAAAGGTTTACATATAAACAGCAAATTTCACAAGCCAGTCATGGATTTTATCATTTTGGAGAAGCCTACTAGCAAAACTGAGAATATCCGCAAGAGGATTCTGGGATTCTACCCCACTATACATGATGCACAGCAAATTCTGGCAGCTCTGAGACTGGGCCATATGTACCCCCTGTTGATAAGCACTGGATTTAGTAGTGCTTTCTTGCAATATTCCAGCAATATGACTGAGGGAGACATCAGAAATACAACCATGCTGGGAATCACAGGCCTTCAGCTATGCATTTTCACAACTAGGCTACAAATGGTAACAAGAAGACAAAGTCATCAATATCCCCAGCAATGGCAAAATACTCTTCATGATTATGTCTAGGAGTTATGATTATGTCAAATATTTAGGTGTGTCTATAGAAAAGTGGAAGGAGAGTATTGAAAGGTTTTTAAAGTTCTGCTCCAGAAAGGAGCACTATCACCAATTTCAGTCTAAGTCAAACTTGTTGCCATGGAAATGCCAAAAATATTTCATTCAGAAATCCAAAACTACCAAAAGGCACCAGTACACCACCAGACCAATCGATGTGCCAAGTTTGGTGAAGAAATAGTGAATGGTTTTAGAGTTCTGCTTTGGAAAAGAGCACAACCACCAATTTCAGGCTGTCAAACTTGTTGCCATGGAAATGCCAAAAATATTTTATTCAGAATTCCAAAACTACCAAAAGGCACCAGTACACCACAAGATCTATCTATGAAGAAATATCTTTTATGTGCCAAAAGCTGTGGACTGAAGTTTTACCGCTTTTAAATATTCCAGAATATCACGTGGTCTTAGAGTTCTGGCTACCCCAATCGCCATCTCGAAAAGAGCACTACCACAATTTCAGGCTAAGTCAAACTTGTTGCCATGGAAACCCCAAAAACATTTTATTCAGAATTCCAAAACTACCAAAAGGCACCAGTACACCACCAGATCTATCTATGTGCCAAGTTTGGTGAAGAAATATTGAACGGTTTTAGAGTTCTGCTCCGGAAAAGACAAATGTGCACGGACGGACGGACTCTAAGAGTCAGACTTAATTATGAGCTTTGTTTAATTTTCACTGAGTTTAATTCATACTTGTTTCATGTCCATGGCAAAGCAAAATATGAGTAAATGTGACAAAATTGAAAGGGTGAAAAGGTAATACTAAATAATAAAACTGAAAGGAACATGTTTCTTAGAGAGTTCTTGAATGGTTGAAAGAAACTTTAACAAGAAGACAACGTCATCAATATCCCCTGCAACGGCAAAATACTCTTTATGAATATGTCTACTTGTTATGATTATGTCAAATGTTTTGGAGTGTATACAGCAAAGTGGAAGGATAGAATTAAAAGGTTTTTAAGATCTGCTCCAGAGAGGAGCACTACCATCAAAATCAGTTGAAGCCTAACTTGTTGCCATGGAAATGCAACAAGATGACATCCTCATAGTCCAAGCCTAAGTCATGTTTCCATGGAAACCACAAAAAATAAAATTCATATCTGGGTCTAAACCCCAAAAGGCACATCTAGGGATTGTGCTTGACATATGTACCAAGTTTGATGAAGCTAGTATGTATAGTTTGAGAGATCTGCTCCGGACAAGATGACATCCTCATAATCACAGCCTAAGTCATGTTTCCATGGAAACCACAAAAAATAAAATTCGCATCTGGGTCTAACCCCCAAAAGGCACATCTAGGGATCATGGTTGACATGTGTACCAAGTTTGGTTAAGCTATCACCAATAGTTTAGGAGATCTGCTTCGGACAAAGTGTGACGGACGCATGGACGGATGCATGGACGAAACTCGTTTCTATATCCCCCGCAACTTTGTTGTTGCGGGGGATAAAAAAGCTCACGAGTAAAATTTTGTTTCATTTTTATGCCCATCAAATGCATAGCGTATGAGACCATTATACTGTTATACTGAGGTACGAGCTAATTGGGAACTGCTTACTGTTGCACTAGACAAAGCAAAAACTATGTACATGGTCTCCTATAGCGTCAAAAAGGACCACCATACCACACCACCATGGGTAACCATGTTTCAAGATGTAATTCCTTGGACAAACTGTCAACCAATCATCAAGGGTTCCAATCCTGGGTCACCCTGGTCATGAAAGGAGTGTGCATTAGACACTCTAGATCTGTAATGAACTTTGACAATTCTACCTCAATGCACAATCATTACCGTGAGTATGTGATGGAAATACCATGTCAACAAATCAAACATAAAATATGCAATTTAATCATTGAACTACACTGTCTGGTTATAGAAAGTATTCATTGTATACCTGGAGTTATGTTTTAATTTTTTTGTTATTAATTTCATATAATCTCATTCAGTATTGATTACAATAAATTCAGCAAAATCATAAGGGAAGTTAACAGCAGGGCACCAACTCATTATCTATATTAACTGCAATCAGATTAACACTACTGACGCATTGAAACTAACTTAAGTTGACAGAGAATGGATGCATTTACCATATAAATGTCATACTTAGACTCATTAGAAGTCATATTTGTTGCAGTGTGACAATAATAACTATGTCAACATAAGATTTTACGATCCTTAGCATGGACGGTGAGACAGTGACATGTCAATAGTACCATGCAGTAAACATATCTTCATCAACTTCTTATATTCTCATAAAAACACCATCTCATATTCTCATCGGTGGTACAAGAGCAAAGAATATACAATTTTTACAAATGTACATAAACATAAACATGTGTCATGATGATGAGTTATTTGCGTAACAATTTATACAAGTGAGAGATAAAAAGTCATAAGCACTTATGAGACGAGTATATGGATGACAACTTCTTGTTTATTGCATATCACGTTTCTGGGCTACTTCTTGCCCCTTCTTCAGGTGATTAAAGACAGATGTAGAAAGCAAACTATATACACCCCCCAGATTTACAGGAAGCCAGACATGTACATGTATATACGATCAATCACAGAGGACCGATCAAAAGCAGTTATAAAAACAATACTAATCGGGATAAGGTAAAGCCAGTTGACACAAATAATAAGGATAATGAGAATTTGCTTTGCTTTTGAAACTAGAGACTTTGTAGAATATCCAACCACTGTAATCAGCTGTACCAAAGTGCTCTGCATATTATTAGTTCAAGTACATTAAAAACAATGCCCAGAAGAACAGGAAATTGTCTCATGATATTTTATCTCACATTTCAAATTTGTTTTCACCAAATTTGTTAATACCTGTTCGATGATAACTGAATTCCCTGAAGAAATATGACGTAGTTCTTTGTCTGCTCATGATATTCTAAATATTTTTTACATAAAGTACTGAAACCCATAGTCGGAGTTGCGCATTATACTAAGTGCGAACTATACTCAAAAAATTACCTCAGTAATATGTACAGCCCCTCTAGGGGATTCAGTTGTTTTGGAAATACATATTTCATGTCCATATACCGTATATGACCGACTATAAGTCGGATCCGACTATAAGTCGGGCCTCTTTCTCAACCCTCAAAATTCTTGCCAAAACCATGTAACTCAAGTATAAGTCGGTCCCTTTCCCGATGCGAATCGGTATCGCCTCAATCTTCACTTTCGGGACGCGATGTTTAATGCGAAAATATATGCATGAATCATTTTTGTCACAGGTCATAACCTAGCACGATACGTCAAATAAATACCATAATTTACATATAGGTAGCGATTTCTTGCTTAATATGTTCAGAATAGCATTATTTTACCCAAAACTTTCGTCAACATCTCAAGTTTTCGTTTACGAGGACGGTATCCATTGACGTAATATGATTGGCTGCCTTAGGTCACGTGTCTGGTTTTGACCAATCACGACCCTTATAGCAGACTGGGGCGAAAAAGCGTCATTAGAAACCAATTTTTATCCAATAAAATTGCTTCTTACAAGTGTGAAAAATACTCTCGGCAAGGGTACAGTGATATTGTTGATGTTCGCTACTGTCCTGGTTCATTTACCGAGACTGATCGAGTGTGAAATGAAAAAATGAAAAAAGACAAACGACAGCGTTTTTTTCTATAATTTATATCAGACAGTTCACTCTTCGTGATAAAAAAACATTGAAGAAACAAATATAAAATAACAATTGCATACACATATCACCATTGAGTGGAGGGATAAAATATCGCATACATGTATTATGGTGAGGGTAGGGATATCTCAAATATTATTTCAGCAGCTAATGTTCATTGTGGCTTTATGGATTTTTTTTCACAAGTCGGCTTCTGTAAACCCATCGAACTCAGTGTCTGACTCCTCCCCTGCGAGTGCTTGCCAGGCCAGCTCATCTATGTTGTCGTCATAATAGTCGTCAAGGTGTGTGTCGTCGCTGTGTTCTTCACTGTCAATGACATCATGGGAGGTTGATCCGATGAGGTCTGAGAAGAGTTCATCGTCTTCACTGCCGTCCATGGCGTTGGATATACCGCACTTCAGGAAGCTCCGTCTGACCATATCCCCCGGAATAGCATCCCACGAGTCACGCACCCATGTAGCGACTGTAGTGAGGGAAGCACGTCTCATGGCGTTGTTCTTAGTGAACGTGTGTTCCCCATTTACCATCCACTCGGACCACTGTTGTCGCACTCTCTGTTTGAAAGGCTTGTTCAGGGAGACGTCCAGGGGCTGGAGAAGTGACGTGCACCCACCGGGGATGACTACTTGTCTTGTCCTGTTTTCCTTCAGTCTCTTCTTCATGCCCTCACACAGATGTGCTCGGAACATGTCCCATACAAGGAGAGACTGACAAGGTCTGGCACCTCCCGGTCTAGCCATCCACACGTCCGACAGCCAGCGCAGTACCAGTGACTCGTCCATCCACCCCTTGGGATGGACAGTGATGATGACACCCGGAGGAAACTTCTCTTTGGGCATCGTCTTCCTCTTGAAAATTACCATCGGCGTCAACTTCTTTCCATCGGCGGTACACGACAGTACGACGGTGAAGTGGGCTTTCTCTGCTCCGGTTGTCTTCGCGGTGATGGTTGACGCCCCCTTGGTGTGAATTGTCCTGTTCCCTGGCATGTCGAAGGTGAGGGGAGTCTCATCCATGTTGCCTATTTGTGACAGCTCGTAGTCAATGGCCTTCCTCTCTTTCAAAACAAACGCGTGGAAATGGTCCACCTTCGTGTCCACCTCCTGGGGTAGTTTCTGTGCGATGTGTGTCTTTTGTCTGAGAGCAAGGTTGTGTCTTCTTAGGAATCGAGTACACCATGTAGAGGACGCCTTGAAATTCTCAGGAAGGTTCAGCTCTTTCCCCTTCTTGCGGTACGTCTGGAGTGCATGATGACGTATCATCATACGTGTGACGACAAACCCGCTCTGCCTCTGCGACATCACCCACTCTTCTACTACCTTTTCTAACTTTCGAGAACAGTCCCTCGCAGGCCTTCTTCGTTTTCGGCATCTGAAGTTGGCGTCCTTCATCTTCCTCCAGTCACTGAACTTGCTTCTCATTGACTGAGAACTCCCTTACAGCCCGAACAGTTGCTGTTCTTCTCTGCGCGTATCGAAGGAGGCTCGTTTGCATATATATATACAATGAACAATTTCTGCAACCAGACTGTGTAATCACATGATTAAATTGCATACTAGTATCTGTTATCAGACTTTATGACATGATATCTCTGGTTGGGGTAAAGATGTTGAAATTCATCATGGCATGTATAATGCACACCCCTTCTACACATCTGTGGGATTTTTAAAAAAGTACTTAAGAAAATATGGAAACTGGAATACAGTTCAAAGCTATGTTAGTCCTATCACACTTACTGCATGAAGATTCCTTGAAAAGATTTTTACTTAGGCTCCAGAAAAATCGATAGCATTACTGAGGCCAATGTGAGATAATATTCATGAAGAGTGAGTGAGTATGGTTTTACGCTGCTGTTAGCAATATTCCAGCAATATCACGGCAGGGGACCCATGTGGGTAAGTAGTAGTAGAGTGGGGGTTCTGCCGCAGATGCGGCTTAGAGGCTTATTTGTGGGAATTAAGCCTCCCAGCCCCCCTTAAAAACGGCGATGGTCTATCGAGAGGCATCCTTCGATGTGCAAAAAACGTTGCAAGGAATCCACTTATAAGAATGGACGCTTCTCTTGTGCTGCACAATGTCTTTGCGAGATAGATAGCCAAACACGTAGAGGTCATCGACAAAGGCTGGAAGACCGGAGAGTGGTTGCAGGTGGGTTTCCCCGAGATTTCCAGCGAGATAGCCTACCGTCGAGATATCAGACACGAGGTTGTTGTCGTGCGTGTTTTGCAGTAGGAGGTGGTGTGCGATAGATTTGCTGCACCGAATGCCCATTTCTTGGAAAGTTGCTGTGATTTGTTTTGCCATAGTTGTTGTTGTCTGAGTGTATCCTGTATACTGTAGCAACACCATATGTCTAATTGGAAGTTCGAGCAACCTTGGTGTCGGGTTGAAAAAAATGGTTGCTGAAAAAATGGGCAGCCCTAGCAAAAATGAGATTCTTATAAGTGGATTCCTTGCAACTTTCGGTGGTGGTGGTGGTGTTTCGGTAAGGAATTAGGATCACATCAGTTGGGTCTCTGAAAAGGGCCTAGCTGAGCGGGGCACTCTCATGGCAAGAGAAAGGCAGCCGACGCAATTCCCCTTGGGAGAAAATGCGCAACCATCAATCTTTCGATTTCACCCTCGGGGAATTGTGGCTGCCGGGGACATTTTGCAATTTTTTTAACATTATTTTTTTGGGCACATCAAAGGATGCCTCTCGATAGACAATCGCCGTTTTTAAGGGGGGCTGGGAGGCTTAATTCCCACAAATAAGCCTCTAAGCCGCATCTGCGGCAGAACCCCAACTCTACTACTACTGGGAATCAAACCCGGGTCTTCAGGATGAAGAGCGAATGCTTTAACCACTAGTCTAACCCACCCACCCCATACTCATGAAGATGTTTCAAGGCAGTTAAATGTGTCTTTCACTGGCTTTTGAGTGAAGAACATGAAAAAATCGGCACACTGGTACTTCTAAATGCTTGCCTCGAAAACTGCATTCAGGGATCATTCCTAGCTGATTAATTTCCAGCAATATCCCAGATATGCAATGCAGGAGTAAACTTTGTTCATGCCTGTAACCAGACACACTCAGAAATAGTTAGCCGTGTAACAGCTGATCGTGCTAAGCTGTGATCTATCCCTCTGTGGTTAACACCTGTTACATACACACACTTTCCAATACAGTAAGAATCATTAGTTTAAACTGCTTCATGCACTAGAAATCATGAAAGCAAATTCATGCTGACTAGACTCCTTAATCAAAATGATGGAAAACTAAAGACAGAAGCCCTACATTTAAAACTAACGAAAACAGCACCTCACATAAACTGCAATCGACAGTATCCAGAATGCAGGATTAACAAAGTATGACCTAGTATTGGGACATTTGAATAATACTGCTCAATTTTGTCACTTACTGAACTTCTCTTCTTTCTAAGATTATTTGACAATTTTACCAAGAGCAAAGACACTATCATATCCAGTCACTGACTGTCAGTGATCCTCTAACCACTACCAGATGTCACAGCACCCAGTGACAAGCACTAATTATGAGACATATTTCACAATGAATATATTGTATGAAAGGCAAACCTGGAATGACAGTAGTCTCTTGTATCGATTAACTTATGCTGAAAATCGACACCCTATTAGTATAAGCAAGGGGCACTTGCATCTAATTAATGAATTTTATGACTTTCAGTTATTCACATTTACCCCCACAACCATAACAAATCGTCTGCCATACACACGAGTGACCTTCCTTTCCCCATCTGTTACATGCATTACTGCAAATATTGACTCCAATCCTGACATACATTCATTCAGTGATACTGATAGGATATTAGCCCAGCATCATAGATCTAGATCGTACAACAAAACGCAGAATTTACTCACTACTTCTAACATATTTGATAATATTGTCCCATTGTTGAATTCAATGCAATGCATAATGACATTCCCCAATTACTGCATATGTGTCATGAGATCTCTATAGGTCACAAATGCCTTGTGAGATCCTTTAATCATAGGGATATCTCAAGAGATCTCCAACGAAAGGGATATTGTAAGAGATGTTTTAATGATAAGGATATCTCAAGTTATCTCTAACGAAAGGGATATTGCAAGATATGTTTTAATGATGATAAAGGATATCTCAAGAGATCTCTAACGAAAGGGATATTGCAAGAGATGTTTTAATGATAAGGATATCTCAAGTGATCTCTAACGAAAGGGATATTGCAAGAGATGTTTTAATGATAAGGATATCTCAAGAGATCTCTAACGAAAGGGATATTGCAAGAGATGTTTTAATGATAAGGATATCTCAAGTGATCTCTAACGAAAGGGATATTGCAAGAGATGTTTTAATGATAAGGATATCTCAAGAGATCTCTAACAGAAAGTATTGCAAATGTTTTATGATAAGGATATCTCAAGTGATCTCTAACGAAAGGGATATTGCAAGAGATGTTTTAATGATAAGGATATCTCAACAGATCTCTAACGAAAGGGATATTGCAAGAGATGTTTTAATGATAAGGATATCTCAACAGATCTCTAACAAAAGGGATATTGCAAGAGATGTTTTAATGATAAGGATATCTCAAGAGATCTCCAACTAAAGGGATATTGCAAGAGATGTTTTAATGATAAGGATATCTCAAGAGATCTCTAACGAAAGGGATATTGCAAGAGATGTTTTAATGATAAGGATATCTCAAGAGATCTCTAACGAAAGGGATATTGCAAGAGATGTTTTAATGATAAGATATCTCAAGAGATCTCTAACGAAAGGGATATTGCAAGAGATGTTTTAATGATAAGGATATCTCAAGAGATCTCTAACGAAAGGGATATTGCATGAGATGTTTTAATGATAAAGATATCTCAACAGATCTCTAACGAAAGGGATATCACAAGAGATCTGTAATAACAGGGATATCTCAAGAGATGTTTTATTTTAATGACAGGGACATGTCAAGAGATCGCTAATGACATGGATACCTCAAGAGATTTCTTAATGACAGATGTCTTGTGAGATCTTTCAATGTCTGTAATGTCTCATGAGATCTCCATATTGCAGGGATATCTCATTTTATTTCTTAATGTCAAGGATGTCTCATGATCTTTCTCAGCATGAGGTCTATCACTCGGTGTCAAAGATGACTCTTGATATTTTTCAGTATCTGAAATGTCTCATGAGATCTCTGTAATACTGCTCACTGCAAAGATCTCTATGCATTAGATCTCTGCAATACTGCAAAAGATCTTGTGATATGCCATGAGATCTCTGCAATACTGCATTACTGCAAAAGATCTTGTGATATGCCATGAGATCTCTGCCAATATCTGGCTTGTCTCATGAGATCTCTCAAGAGTTTCATGATAATGTGCATCCCTTAATTAAAGTGCCTCATTAGTCTCTGTTCAAAATGCCTCAGGAATTAGTGAGTGGATGTAGATTTATGACTCAGCAGAATTAGACCATCCTGCTTCATGAAAACCCCCAAAACATGTTTATAGTAGGACCTCCCATGTGTCAGAAGATCTTATTACAAACACTGTTGTTACCTAATAAGGTCTCGTAATATATAACTTGCCATTTACTTATGAAAATATATAAATAATTACATAATATGTACATATATCAAATTAACATTACATATTTAATGTGATTCAGTAATTTCAAATACATACTACATAACAGCTGTTGAAATAAGACACCTACCTTCTAGGTGTAACAGCACGTTGCCATGACAATTTAAGTCATATTCCACTTTATATGGAATAAAACAACATGTCAAGGTCACAATGACGTCCAAGGTCGTTTTGACGGAATTCCACCAAAACGTATCTCCAAAGGCGATATGGTATCCGGCTGTGAGTCACATTCCACTCTCCAGTCTGGAAGTAAGAATTAACATTGTGATACGTGAGTCATCGCAGAGGGCCAGTCAGGCCCTGGTATCCCCAGCCACACAGCGGCGACCACAGCGTAGCAACTACACTGCTGCAGATCAATACCACAGACACTGCACAGAATAGAACATGAAATACCATAATAAGCACCTTCATCACACTGAAGGACGTTTCCTTTGAACAGATCATTTACAAATAAATGAAATGGAATAACTGAACAATTCATTACGGATTTCTGTCACTTGGAAATAAAAGTGACAAGTCATTTCTATTTTACTTCTCTTCTGTCTGGGAGAATGCGTAAATACAACCTTTCTCTGGACAAGCGCTCTGTGTGATGTGGTCACAGTCTGTTCTTTACAGTACTGTAGCTTAATAAACTAGTGACACTGCAGTAATGTACTCACAGGGATGGATACCTTCAACTACACATCAAACAGCTACAAGTTAATCTAAGTATTGATCATGATATTGTTGTAAACTCAAGCAGCACTTTTTGGTTCCTATTCATCATTTCATGATGTTCCCTCGAATATTTGTGAAGGAAATCTTAGTGAGTCAGATATAAAACAGATGTACAGTTAGTAACATTTAAGATATCAACTGGATTTCCGCTAACAGCCTCTGTGTCCGTGGTGACTAATAGCCAAACACTGGACAACAATATCTGCAGAGATATAGATAGTGACACAGCCTAGCACCACACAACCATGCCTGCAGAATTATCAGTATGGACACAGCCTAGCACCACACAGCCATGCCTACAGAATTATCAGTATGGACACAGCCTAGCACCACACAACCATGCCTACAGAGTCATCAGTAGTGACACAGCCCACCACCATACCACCCACCACCATACAACCATGCCTACAGAGTCATCAGTAGTGACACAGCCCACCACCATACAACCCACCACCATACAACCACCATACAACCACAGCCATGCTACAGAGTTATCAGTAGTGACACAGCCCACCACCATACAACCCACCACCATACAACCATGCCTACAGAGTGATCAGTAGTGACACAGCCCACCACCATACAACCCACCACCTATACAACCACTGCAGCCATACACAGAGTCATCAGTAGTGACACAGCCCACCACCATACAACCATGCCTACAGAGTCATCAGTAGTGACACAGCCCACCACCATACAACCCACCACCATACAACCATGCCTATCGAGTGATCAATAGTGACTGACAGCCATGCCTACAGAGTTATCAGTAGTGACACAGCCCACCACCATACAACCCACCACCATACAACCATGCCTACAGAGTCATCAGTAGTGACACAGCCCACCACCATACAACCATGCCTACAGAGTCATCAGTAGTGACACAGCCCACCACCATACAACCCACCACCATACAACCATGCCTACAGAGTTATCAGTAGTACCAAGCCATGCCTACACAGTCATCAGTAGTGACTGACAGCCATGCCTACAGAGTGATCAATAGTGACTGACAGCCATGCCTACAGAGTCATCAGTAGTGACTGACAGCCATGCCTACAGAGTTATCAGTATTCACATAGCCTAGCATCACACAACCAAGCCTCCAGGGATATAGGAAGCAAAGTGGAATCATCCAGACCACAACTGAAGGAGAGCCATTTAAAGTTCATAGGTTTGTTAAATGCTCACAAGAAGTCAAAGAGGGCAGTTTATAAATCAAACCATGTTAATGTACTGTAGTACACAGAAATTGTTAGTTTGTCATTTGCTGACTACAACAAATGGGAAGTGATAATTGTACAGAGGAAACTATACTTGGTTCTTGTGTCACTAACAGCCTCAGATACATTTTCAAAGAAGCAATCTCAGGGGGAAATTCATTGGGTCACTTGAATTCCTTGCTGGATACGCTTGAGCTACTTTCTCTTAGTACTTTATTATTTCCATATTCCAAGTATATATATTTTCCTTAAACATTTTCCCAACCAATATGAATGTCAATTTGCAGAAGTTCTGCATAGATTATGTTTCTTATTTAGATGCTTTAAGTACATATGCACCTCTGCTACTTTGACAATGTCAAGATGTTTCCACTATGAGAGGTGAAAGGGGACACAGTGACAGGAATGAAGGTGTAACAATTACAATGTTCGCAAGTATGATGGTATGGTGAGTGAGCGAGTGAGTGAGGTTTTACACCACTTTAAGCAATATTCCAGCAACATCACAGCAGAGAACACCAGAAATGGGCTTCCGATTGTACCCATGTGGGGGTATGAAGAGCAAGTGAATAACATGACCTGATAACCGTGACCCACATGATCCATGCTGATATCACTACAACATTGTGTCCAGTGCTTGAATATCACCATAAACATGAAGGAGTCTTTACGTAGCCCTTGTGTAAGACGATAATGATTGAGGGGGTGTAAGTACTGTTGCAGCTACACCCAAGGACCCTAAGACCTCCCTGTAACTTAATGTAAGTTTCAAAACTGGTAACAATTATCACAATGTAATGTTCCTTAACTCAGAAATAAATGGGAGGCTTGTAATTACATGACAAAATTCATCACGGAACAAAGTCAGAATCTGGCAGTGTTTAATTAGCAGTGCAAGAAAAGAGCTTAATAGCCATCTGAATGTTGAAAACAGAATGTCATTTGGTTCCTTTTTTCTAAAACCAAGTTTGTCTTCGAGTCCTCGAGTCTGCCACACACAGCCCCCTGTCATTAGGAAGCTGTCTCAGTCCCCTGTGAGATTTAAGCTACGACTGCATCTGTGTCCCAGCTTGTGACATACTGCCCTAGCACCGATCAATACAGTATGTACTGGGCATTGTCTGGGCAAGTACAGCACAATGGGCATCTCATAAACTGTACTGTATGTACACCTCAGACACTATACCATACTCTTCACACATTGAATGAACTAGTGGACAAAGAAATGAGAGTTAATTATTCCCTATGGATACAGTGTTGGAGAGTGATGTACAACTAAAATCGTTTGGTCCATCGTATCTCAAATCTAATGCACTGTACAATGCAAGTGTATTGTATCTTTCACATGCTACATTGCATTGAACTCTAAATGCTTTGTATCTTCCATTTCAGGTGTCCCCACTGTGATATTGCTGGAATATTGCTACAAGCGGTGTAAAACTAACCTCACATACCACATTGTATCTCCTACTTACCATACTGTACTGCACTCTGAGCACATTGTATCTCCTACTAACTATATTGTACTGCACCCTAAGCACATGGTATCTCCTACTTACCATATTGTACTGCACTCTGAGCACATTGTATCTCCTACTAACTATATTGTACTGCACCTAAGCACATTGTATCTCCTACTTACTATATTGTACTGCACTCTAAGCACATTGCATCTCCTACTTACCATATTGTACTGCACTCTTGGCCATTGTATCTCCTACTTACTATATTGTACTGCACTCTGAGCACATTGCATCTCCTACTTACTATATTGTACTGCACTCTGAGCACATTGTATCTCCTACTTACCATATTGTACTGCACTCTGAACACATTGCATCTCCTACTTACTATACTGTACTGCACTCTAAGCACATTGTATCTCCTACTTACTATATTGTACTGCACTCTAAGCACATTGTATCTCCTACTTACCATACTGTACTGCACTCTTAGAACATTGTATCTCCTACTTACTATATTGTACTGCACTCTAAGCACATTGTATCTCCTACTTACTATATTGGACTGCACTCTAAGCACTAGGGCTGTGCAATATTACCGGTAAACTGGTATATCTCGCGATACGATTATCGCGATATGGTTCAGATTCTTCAATATATTGGGTCATCCAGATTTAGCTCCCTTTGCATTATCTGCCCTTGATTTCCAAAGCCAAAAAAAGTGATCTAAAAGTGCCAAATATACTTTTATTTCTGTTGGTTTCATGTAACATTTTACAAGTGGGATAATCTTTATAAGTGGCTCCAAAATTGCCAAATATCCTACCAAATGTGTTACGTTTTGTGGGTTTGAATGGTTTCATATGTGACATTTTGGAGGAATGAAGGGACCGCTCATAATTTATGGCTGGGGTGATGATGATTTGTATGGAGAAGCATGTACAATGTGAATGCCCCACCCCCACCCCAAGTTAAATTTATGTACAAAATAAGTGACCCCCTGCATGTCATGTACAAATTAATGACACCTCCCCTCTTTCACAGAATTTCTTAGCATAATTTTAAACATATTGTTATATACAAACTTGTTGACGTCTTCCACCCCCCCCTAAAGTGTGTGTGTACAAAATTGCTGACCCCACTAGCTCCCCAGAACTAAATGGGTGGAAACACACACACACACACCCCTAAAATCTAAATCATCATCACCCTTTCCAGCCATAAATTATGAACGGTCCCTAAGTGGCCTCAATTTAACCAGTTCTTCAGTAGAGGCTCTGGCTCTGAGTGACCATTTCACGATTCCCATTATTTTGTTAGTTTTGTTTGTTTCATAATGAAACATATGTTATCAATTTATCATAAAGGCCTAAGTCTTTCTAAAGGTCTAAGTCTTACTAACTGTGTAATGACATCCTAGTCAAGGATCTCAGTTACTGGAGGTCACATGAGATGTTTAAGCTCAAGTAGGTCACCTAAATCTTGTTTTTGTTTCATTTTGCAATAGTTTATGTTAACACATGTTTATATTGGAGTTGAATCTGAATTAATCACTGACATACAGTAACAATAACTGCAAGCTGCATTGAAGTGCATTCTGTTGAAGCACTGACCATGAAACTTATGTTATACTATTACTATACTTTATCATTATGTTCTCAAACATTTGTTGCAATACCTCAATTAAACATTCCACATTAAGGTTCTATATCATTTTATTTATCTGTTAACCATTGACATACAGCCATGCACAATGATGACTGGGAGCCTGAAAGTATGGTTATCAGCAACTAAGAAGATAATGTCGCACACAGAGAGCTATTATGAA